TTCACCAGAGGCAGACATAGCTGGTAAGAGTGGTTGGGAAAAATCAATACCCCACAAGGGCCAAAACATTGGAGATATGTGGGGTCCCATTAGTTTAAGATTGGATCCATACTTCCCCATTCTTTATCACTTCTCGTTGGACGGTTCATTGGGAATGATATGGTGGGATGCTGATTTGTACGAAACCACTGTATTTCACATTTTCCTTGGAGCCAACTGCATGGTGTACCATCACATGGTCCAAACAATCAACATCTTTACAACATATATCACTATAGAATAATGCTTCGGGACTTTGATTACTAAAAATAGACCTTATGTAAAGACCATTTCAAAAATGGACCTAGACACTCAGGGTATATATATGCATGTATTATATGCATGCATATACCCCAAATTGATCCAAATTGCAGTTCAACAGGAGATAGAATGCCAACTTTTGGTAGGATGTCGGGTCGGATGTTTATCGGAAGAAACCTGCCTCCCCTTTCCAGCTTGCGCAAACAAAGCTCTTGTGGTTGGTGCCTGCCATTGTTTGTTTTCACTAACGAGACTCCAAACAGTGTGCTTTGAGGAGCCGAAGAAGAATGGGAACAGGAGAAAGAGAAGTGTGCACACAGCTGGTTGGTGATGTGTTAACAGAATGTCGGCGACACAAGATCTCTATCACAGGATCTCTGATCAAGACCTCTGCTCTCTGCACCAGGTCTCTGTACAAAATCTCCATAAGAGGTCTTCTGGCAAGATCTCTGTACAAGATCTCTGAGAGGTCTCTTGGCAAGATATCTGTAAAAGTTCCCTGTAATTGGCAAGATTTGTGTATGAGCAGAGCCATTTGATGCGAGAACTTACAGGAAAAATGGCGCGCCCCAGACATGAACCGCGCTTTTTGTGCGAGCCTGCGCACACGAAATGCACATGGACACGTCACAAGAACCATTTTATGTGGAAATCTGTCGGAAACATGCCGGACGCCCCGGCCGCAGCCTCCATTTCGTGCAAGCCTGCGCAATCGAAATGCACATGGACACTTCACAAGAGCCATTTTGTGTGGAAATTTACAGGGAAAATGCCGGACGCGACCTCGATTGAACACCGAACCTTAACACTTACCGTAAGAGCCCCTCAGTGTGGCCAAACTGCACATTTGGACAAATCCATCTATAATCTAATATAGTATCTCTTGTTTACGTTCTCTCTCTCTCTCTATCTGTAACATGTGCGTATATCGTATATCATACATTACTTGGACACACATATACATATATATATATATATTATTATATTATATATAATTTGCTTAATTGTTTTTTGTTTTTATTATTTTTTATTTTGTTCTTATTATTCTTTTTTATTATTGGTATTTTCTCATTATTGTTGTTATTATTATTGTGTATATATATATAGATAATATACATATACAATATTTGGACACGCATGTGTATATGTATATATACACAAAAATCCAACCATCAAATCACCGCCAGAAGCACAGGCCATCGTGAACACCATCCTGGCTTTGCTCACCTCAACAGTCACTAGCTTTGGCTTGACGCAGATCCTGCAGGACGGCAGACATGGACCTTTTGACGCGCCAATGACCCGCCAAAATTGCCCAAAAATGTTAGGGAAACTATTTGAACATTTTTGAACCCCCCAAAAGTTGGATGTTTTTTTGATGTGGAACTTTGACACATGTTTTTTTTCCCGATTTGGAAACTGAAGAGTCCGCAACGGGAAGCAAACTGAGGGTTCATGATCCGCAAAACAGTGGCGTCCAGGATGGCAAGATTGGAACGCGAGCAGTGCAAAATGCAACCTTGGCGGGAGGTGCGAAGACCTAACACCAGCAACAAATGGTGTTGGATTTTTGGGGAATTCGAAGTCATTCGTAACAGGCATTTTTGGGTGACGTTGCAGAGATCATTTTTCAAAATTGGAAGGTGACCTGGTAAACCCTAAAGCCTAAACCACCATAAACCAGTAAACCATAGTAAACCATAGTAAACCATAGTAAACCATAGTAAACCATCTCCAAGGTTACTTGGTACATCTTGGTACTGTGTCATATGTTGATCTCGTTTTATTAGTGACAAAACCATCCCCAGGTGGAAGTTTCCCATCCTGGATGGTCCAGGTGTGACCATTGGTGCCACTGCCAGCATCGTGGGCCCCTTTGGTGCGGGCGTCTTGGGCATCATGGCGGGGGCATTGTCAGGGACCCAGCTGGCAAGCTGGGCAAGCTGGAAGGCCTTAGATTGGAGGAAGCCCGCTGTTATATTTTTTATACATATGTATATCACTTAATTCATGGTAATGATGATGACAACAATAGTGTGTGAAATGATATGATATTGTACATTTGAATATTGATATGTATATATATATATATATGTATATATGTATATATGTATATATGTATATGTATATATATATATGTACGTAGAGGCACTTAATAGGCCCCAAGCCATGTAGAAACCTCACCCCAGGTCAACTGTGGCCTTTGCACACTCCAGCATGTTCAAATCGGTGGACTCTTGTGGCTTGGCTGGTTCAAAGCCGCAGGATCTCAATGGGAAAATGCGATGGTTTCCCGGTTTTTCTGATACCCTCTGGTTATGTCAAAATAGCTATTGAAAATGACCATTTATAGTGGAATTTCCCATCAATCATGGTGATTTTCCAGTTCGCTATGTTAAATTACCAGAGGGTACCAAAACCAAGACATTGACGATATATCGTTGCGGGTGCCCAAACTGGCTGCTTGACAATTTGTTGGTGTCCCTAGAGGGCTTGTTTGTTGATGGGCAATCTTTGCACGCCGATGAACATTTGAAGGTGGTCATGGTAATTTTGGCCAAGGTCAACTATCAAAATCACCTTCGAAACTTCGAAACGTGGTTTCACGAAAAATCACGGGTGCTCCTTCACACCTCCTGAAAGTCATTTTTCAACCATCTTGAAAGGTGAGCACCCGCAGTTATATTTGGTGATGTCTACACCCCATTTCTACAGTTACAGCAGATCTATCTACGATAGACTTTTTAAAACAGTTGGCAATGTCTAGCAACTTAGCAAAACGGAACAGGATGGAACAGGGGCAGCCCATCATATCCCCATCTCATATACCCTCTGGTAAACGTTTACATTTTGCGAACATCATAATTTTTCATGGATAAATTAATAAATCAATTATACATATTATACATGGCCATTTCCAGTAGCTGCAGTAGCTATGTAACAGTGTACCAGAGGATACCACTATAGATGTCTTGGTGAGGTGGGATTCACAACCTGCACGGTCTTCCAGGGCTCCTGGGTGGTCACTTGGTGGAGAAACTGCCGCGGCGTTTCGAAACGAAACGCGGGGAGCGGGGATCATCGACACCGTTACAGGGAAAATATAGGGAAAATGGATGGGAAAATGATGGACAAAATGATGGATTCACCAGTTTTTTTATGTTTGTTAGTGTTTGTTGGTTTAGTTTCACCCAACTGCTTCGATATATTCACCGGCTTAACCGTGCTTAAATATACCAGCACCATGGAGCATATGGGATAAGGATCAACATGGTGGTCTTATCAGGGTCAGAGCCATCTCAATAGATGGAATCGCCGATCCGAGGTTTATTTTCCATCGTTTCGCCTGTCTTCTACAACGACACGGGCCTTGCCACTTGCCACTTACGACTTTTTGGGCAAAAATGGATCAAGAACTTTTCTGAAAGATGTTTACTGTGATTGTATTTCTGCACTTCTTGCAAGCGTTTGGTATGTTTTGGTCGTGGCATGTCGTGGCTCTAGTTGTTGCTGCACTTGACGTTTCCCTTTTAGGCTGTGCTTAACATTAGACTTGCAAACGTTTATCGGTGCTTATGTACTGACATTGTAGTCTTGGATGATCCCAATTGACTAGAATTCTTGCGCCGTGAACTATGATGCCGTTCATCAGTTTTGGTTCCTACTGTTTGGTGATATTATGTTATATTATTAATTGGTAGTTACTATTTGCTTATATTTGATTGGTAGTTTTGCATAGTTTTGCTACTTTTTAAACTACAGCCTCTGGAGCTTTGGTCGCTCAGAAATGTCGGACGTCCGAGGCCCCTTTCGAGCAGATGGTTGCCTTGAAACTGGGCTCAATCTGCTAGTGACACGGATTGCTAGTAAATCCTAGTAAATCCTACTAAATCCATGTAAATCCTAGTAAATCCATGTAAATCCTATATGATATAGTTACCTATTCCTGAGGAGTTGTTGATAGTGTCTATTTTTCCTGATAAATCATGACATCCCAAGTTCCTTCCGTGGTATCCGCCCAGGGCCTCCACCTTGATGATCGCTTTGCTTTCCGGGGCCTGTTGCGGTGTCGCCATGAAGGTGCCGAGAGAAAATCTCGACAGATGTTGCTGCTGTTTAAAGGTATATGTTTCTGGTTGGTGGTTTCAAACATGAATTTTATTGTCCATAATATATGGATATATGTGGATAAATGTCCATAATATATGGGATAATCATGGATAATCCTTCCCCTTGACTTTCATATGTTTCAAGATGGTTATTGCACCACCAACCAGGTTTTGTTGTGCTGTTGAATGTCTTGTATAACTTGGCTGCCACAATCGAAGCACTTTTTTTTTATCAGTGACACAGACCTTGTTTGGTTGATATATCAGGGATTTGGCACGATGTGGACTTAGTTGACCTTGATTGTCGCTGCTCATTTGTGTTGACAACACAAACTAAGACTCAGAGTTCTTCGAATCAGATAATTCACCAAGCATGCATGTTTCTGCAAATAAATTGAGGGCCCCCATTTAAACATCACACATCAATTTCACGGTTTTACACAGCATAAGCTTTTAAGATTGTTTAAGAATCATTCGCTATTGTACGTATAAGTAGTATGTAAAATGTTCACACATATATATATATATATATAATGCATCCATATGACGTTGTATATTTTATCATAATATATCATATAGATATGATCTGTTTCGCCCACATGGGGGTTTCCTTTACAGCCTTTTGTGACTGACCGGGCTATCTCTGACAAATCCAAGCTGTAGGCCATTGAGCAGCTTCATGACGATAAAGAGCCGCAGCTTCAAAAATCAACCAATTTGGTGGATCCAATGGGTGGGATACAATCGGGATACAATGGGGGGATTTCACTCTGAAAGATAGAGATCAAACTTGATTCAAAGATTTGTGCTGTGTGGCTTTGTCTGAAAATAGGTAGTAGAGCTTGGAACCCCATACTGTAATGAAAATGAATTATACACCCATTATATCCCTCTCTTAAAAGTGAAAATCGGAGGGAAGGGGAGTCATACTGAAATTTCATTTTAAAATCATGTCTTTCAATCATTTTTTCGCAATGATCAATATTTTTTCGTCATTCCATGTCATTAGGGGTATCATCCCTCCAAGAATTGCGCTGCCATCATCATATTCTAACCAGCGCTAGGCTGGATCATCATTCCAGGGTTTCCAAACCAAAAAAAAATGAATTTAAGAAAGGGTGGTTTTGCGCCCCCCCCTGACAGAGAGATAGATCGATAGATGGATAGACCGACAGACAGACAGACGGACAGACAGACAGATAAATAGATAGATAGACAGATAGAGATCACGATAGAGATCACAACACAGATCAAAATTATTAGAGATCAAGATAGAGATTAAGACAGAGATAAAGACAGAGATTAAGACAGAGATCTAGATAGATAGCTAGATAGCTAGATAGCTAGATAGCTAGATAGCTAGATAGCTAGATGGATAGATAGATAGATTAGGTAGGTTAGATAGGTTCGATAGATTTGATAGATTTGATAGATTAGATAGATTTGATAGATTAGATAGACTGATTAGATAGACTGATTAGATAGACTGAGTAGATAGACTAGATAGATTAGATAGACTTGATGCATTTGATAGATTTGATAGATTTGATAGATTAGATAGATTAGATAGATTAGATAGATTAGATAGATTAGATTAAATTAGATTAGATGAGATTAGATTAGATTAGGATAGATAGATACAGACAAATACAGACAAAAAGTGGACACAGAGCCTCAGACACAGAGACAAGAGTGGGCATTCGGGTTGGTGGTTTGAACTTGGTGGAAATTCATGTCGTTTGTCTCTTATCTACTGACTCGTTTGTACTGTACCTGTTTTATTTGCGTGGTGCTCTTTATTACTTACACAAGAGTCCGGTGCTTAAATTCTTACATCCAAAACCCAGGCGCAACGACGATAATATGTTATTTGGATTTATTTGGCGCAACATTTTGTGTCAAGGTGTGGTGATGCCTTTTGAATGTTTTTTTTGTGCTATACTGCGTTGTTTCCGTGTGTATGTCGCAAGCATTCCACAAATCAGGACTTTCAGCCTGGCCGCGCTTTCCAGCAAGTTTTAAATTCCCGCGCATGCAGATATCATATAGAATGCCAAAAATTTTGCCAGAATAGATGCCGAATAGATGCCAGATAGAATGCTAGAACGAGTGCCTGGAATAGATGCCAGAAAAAACAGAATAGATTCTTGATAGAATGCGTGAAAGAATGTCATAATACATGCCAGACAGTTTGCCAGACAGAATAGATGCCAGATAGAATGAACCCAACACAGGATCGTGTGCAGCGGGCATATATGAAAGTTACAAGCTGAGTGCTTTGAATCGGAACGACCGATTGAAATTTCCAGGTTTTTCCAGCCAAGTGCACACCTTTTAGCATCAAGTTTTTCTCCCAATGATTCGGGTTGTCACTTTACAGTTGCCATACCACTGAAGAGTTTGGTTCTTGAGATGATATGGGAAACCAAATCGGAGACCTTCAAAGCTATTCCAAAAGACCAAGTTTAACCCCTTCCCTCTGACATTAATTTACTGTAATCCTTCCAGAAGCAATGGGTTTTTGTATTCACCTTCGAAATCATGACTTCACAGTGTTTCTTAGGATTTGTGCACAGCTGCAGCCAGCATTGGGTTGAACCCCACTGATTTGCGCATCGAGCCTTACAGCGGCTCGGTTCGAAAAAGCGTTTTTGATGCGTTTGAGTTGGTACAGGTTTGTACCAAGTGTCTCAAAAAAAGTGGACCAACTCTAGAAAAATGGATCCTTGAAGACATTTTGATGATCCTTAAGGTGTGTTTTTCTTGTCTAACGATTCTTGAAGCTGGTCCACATACAACGGCACCGTCTGAAGCTACTGTTTTGAGTCTTTGGACAGTGAGGTGATGCGGCTTGGTGGACCGGAGAGGGTGAAGGCCCAGTGATTCAGCAGCCTAGCTGCAGATCAGACTCAAAAAATAATGTGAACGCGTTGTCCTGATGAATCGGTTTTGGCCTGGCCACGGGTCAAATTGTGTCCTGAGGCTTTGAGGGTGAACCTGAAAAGCGCTTCCTGACTTCGCATGGCGAACAAAAACCTCGCCTTCATTGGAAGTCCTGCTGCAAAGATGGTTGGACCCAAATTGAAAGGAAGTAGATAGGAGCTTGGGAGCATCAAAGTGCATGCCCTAAGTATCGCGCGTTGCCAGCCCCAGTATCAAATGTACAGTGTATCTCAGATTCTGCAAAGTGGATCACTGATGGGCCAAAAAACAAATGGAACCATTGGTTCCTGCTGAGAGTCTGAAGTAAGTACAGGCATTGAGCACCTGCTGAACCCCGATCCACGTCCAACAGGGGGGTTCTCTGAAACTGACGTCTACCATGATAAAATTTGGCAAAATAGCTATGTTTGAACCATTTTTCCATGGAACACAGATGAGAACAGGATGAACAACTATGAACATCTATGAACATCTATGAACAACCATGGGAGTTTGGCGTTTTTTCCCAATTTTCAGGTGCCAATCATACAACTTGGCACACAGCCCCTCAGACAGATCACAGGCCCACAGCGCGTGGGCCGAGCGCTTTTGTCGCGAGGTGCCACGGACCACGTGAGCAGTTTTACCGCCGCCTGTGTAGGAATTCAAAGGGAAATGAATCATCAAACATATCCTATGAGAAGGCAATTTCGATAATTGGGGTACAACAAGCTAGCACTCGATGGAAGAATACGTTATAAATGCCGTTTTTTGGCGTATAAACATTTACCATTTGGTGTTCACCATGGGTACGGAAATCCTGACCCATATTGTTGTGATTTGTCTGGTCCTTTCAACATCTTTCAACGATTTCAGCTGTGAGAGGTTGGTGCTCCCTACACCAACTGGCCCAATTCAAAGGCGCGCCCAATAATTGGGGTGGTGAATGTGGTGAAAATTGGTGATAAATGGGATCTTGGGGTACCCAATTTTCAGAGAAACCAACTGCTGGTCACCAGGGGGATGAGGAAAATCAGTGGTCACTTAGGCGATTTATATCTTCAGCAAGGGTCAAGATATGTCAAGATTTCTAAGAAGTATGGGAGAATGTCAGGGCCAGGCACTGTCACCTTGATACATACTTAACATATCTTAACATTACTTAACTTTTTTGAGTGGAGAATCCTACCAACAGTAGTGACGAGATGTTGGAACAAGAGTTGGTGGCTGGTTTAACCATGAGGTGTGGCTTGGTCAAAAAAAGCCCAATGCCACCTTTTTTAAAAATGTGTATCCGTATCCATTCGTTTAAGGTGATTACCCCAAACATCCCCAAACGATATGGCATTAAGAAACCACAGTCACGGGGGTTGATGGTGGCCTTCTTATTTGGCTGCCTTTGACACACTTCGCAGGTTCCTGAGCGGCGACTTCGAATTGGGTGCGCCAATCTGCTGCCTCTGAGACCATCAGGGGGAAAACATCAGTCTCTGAGTTGGGATTCTGTGGATGAACTCACATAGCTATGGACAATCACCATCTTTAATAGGTAAATCAACGAACTAAATGTACCATTTTCAATAGCTATGTTAAATTACCAGAGGGTAGAAGTTGGATTTCTTTGGCCATAGAGGACCAACATGCACCAACTATCATGCCCACTTGGCAACGTATCTTAGATCAGCAATGGATTTGAGACTGCAGTTTGAACCTGCCCAAATCCCGCCCAGTTTCTGTATGTGAGTGAAAAAATGTGAAAAAAATGCTATGAATGGTGAGAACTTCATAAACTGAACAGATAAGGATTAGAAATGTTTGGAATATAGAATATTATATATATATAAAATATTATGTTATATATATATTATATGTATAGATCCCAAGTATGGAAAGCAGATTATGGAATATCCCCAGCTATTTTCGACGGCTGTTAGCCAATCCGATTCCGCCGGGCCGTGTGTTCTCAGACTTGCTGAGTCGATGATTTTTCGCATCGCGTTGACTGGACAATTTCCCAACAAGAAATCCACGTGGCGGCTGGGTACCGGTAATCTTGTGGGACAACCTGTTTTGTTTCTGACATGGTTCATAAATGTTCATAAGTTACATAAAGCAGGCTGGGAATAGTGACCGTCTGGTGTCAGACGTGGCTGGAAAATCCTCAAACTAGCCATGGAGGTTTCTAGTTGGTAGGATCATCGAAGTAAAAGATTGATTTTCCAGCAAACCATGTTTGATTACCGGAGGGTATCTATGTTCAGGGATTCGTTATAGCAGTTGTTGAGCCTCGAAAGATACTTGTCAAAAATTGGGGTATCATGATGTTGGGGATATTATGGATCTGTCTGAAAATAAGGTTCCAATGGTGTAACATTGTCCCCATTGAAATTGCCATTTTGGAGGTATACCCCATTTTCAGACAAACCCATATCTTTGAATGCCAATTATATCTTGTGGTGGCTTGAAGGTCTAAGAACATGACACCGCAATCCATAAATATATTAAACTATGTAAATAGGTAACTACGACAGGACCAAATGTCAGCAGATGTTATTCGCAATCAGAACTAACCTGCAAGGTCTTGGAACCGCGCAGTGGATGCTGGACTGCAGCCATAGAGACCTTGCCCGAGCCAAGAAGCTCTTGCCAGAAATTTTCCGTCGATTCCTCATGGATACAAACCGATCAAAGCCATCCAAATAGATAACACAGAAATTCGAAGGGGTTCTTAGGCAAATCTGTCAGGATTTATGTTTTGTTTCAGGTACACGCCAGATATATCCAGATATCACGTCCATTTCAACCAGCAATGGAAGTGTGTTTCCTATCCGGCCAGAAAGTTGCAGTACTTGAGGCGGCTGAGTTCGAAGGGAAAACCACCAAGGCTGTGAAGCAAGCCTTGGCACCTAAGATTGGTGTCACCAGATTTAGACAAAGACTCTTTCTGGAAGGTGATGCTGTTGAGATCCCAGATGATAATGTCTTTACCTCAGTGCCTGAAAAGCTTCAGCTGGTGGTCTTGGAGTTTTGCCCACCAGATGTGGCAGAAGACGAGCAGATGATGGTTGCAGCAAGGGGCAACGATACAGTTGGCCTTGAACAGTTGCTGAAACGCCCTCAAAATCCGAACACACGAGATGAGTGCATGACACCCTTGCACCATGCTGCAGAACATGGACATGTTGAGCCGATGCGGCTGTTGCTGGAGGCAGGTGCAGAGATAGATGCACAACGCGAAGAAGAGGAGATGGCCCCCTTGCACAATGCAGCTCACATGGGCCACCTTGAGGCAGTGCGTTTTCTGGTTCAAAATGGTGCACAGAAAGATCTGACTGACATCTATGGGTCAACATCATTGCTATTGGCGGTTGAGCACAACTTCGTCGACATTGCTCGCTTTCTTGTGGCTGAGGGAGCCGACAAGGAGCAGCTCTTGAATTGCGGAAGTACATTGAGCCGTGCAGCTGAATACGGTGAATTGGACATGGTGCGCTTCCTAGTCGAAATTGGTTGTGACAAGGACACGACCGACAATTTTGGGAAAACGGCGCTGCATCGAGCAGCTGCAGAAGGCCATGTGGACGTTGTCCGCGTCCTTGTGGAGTCAGGTGCCGATCGCCATCTCCTCGACATCTCTGAAAAGACTGCTCTGGATGTGGCGTCCGAGAATCGGCATGCGGACATTGTTGGTTTTCTGTCTCACTTTGAGGCAGAATCACATCGGAAAGTGCGTAGATTGAACACACCCGAACGTTGAAGGTGATGGAACAACATGTGCTGGGAATTGCGGGGGTTCTGACATTATTCTTGGGTTGATGGGAATTGAAACCGGTATCTTCAATCCAACTCCAGTTCTGGGCGTTGAATCAAACTGAATCAAACCCTGCCATCGTGTTGGTGACAGCCCCTTCTTTCTAGCAACAACACCTTGCGAGTGTTAGCAGTGAGTCCAAATCTCCTGTTAAACTTAGCTCTTGTTGAGCAGTTTCAGGAACCCCACTTGGTTGATGACCCTTGGGGGCTCTGTTACCAACATCAACATGGATTATCATCACCGGAGTGGGAATCAACAAAGCCATGCGATTGGCGATTTTCAAACAATCATGCAGGTTGAAATTCGGGCCCTCAATCGATATGGAAATTCCACCATGCATCGTTTCGCAATCGGGTTTTCCACATCCATGTTGCTTTGCTGGAGAGTAACCACCACACAAGTCCTCCTTTGCACCCAACACCTGCAGGTGTTCCTTGCTTCACCAGGATGGAAGTATACTATAGGTCCAATCAAGCGTCTTTCGAATTTTCTTATGATGCGACTACGCAGTGACGCCAGGAGTGCGTAGACAATGACTAGTGGATACGATATAACATTTAGATTGTACTCTGGTTGAAGCCATTAAAACCGAAGAAAACAGTTTGTTTACGTTTACGGCACCAAATTACTAGTTCCCCACAGTTGTGACCATGATTGTCTTTGGCTCTTTTTCAGAATATGTTCAGAATCAGATGGTCAAACTCCAACAGATTTCGGATCTGAATCGGACTGGCGTTTTTTTCTTTTTAGAGACCTGTTTAGTTGACACGGTATCCGCGGGTTGACCCATGTTGACCCGCCAGGTGCAGCCTGTGGAGCTTGAAATATTCACTGTTGATGTTCCACATCCCGGGTGAAAAACCAATCTCTGGCGGTGACTGCCATAGGGACACTGGAAGCGCCAAGAAAAAGTGATGCGCTTCACTTCAGTTCATGATGTTTCTCCAACTAACTGAATTTGAACCTCAGAATTTATGTCATTTTTTGGGCGGACAACAGCTTAACTCACTCTTTTGAACGATGGTGGTTATCAGCCAACTCATTCAGCAAATCTTTGGGGTCACACTTTGAAGCGGACGTCCACCAGGTACATCTCACCGGATTTTTTCCATCACTCAGTCAGGAAGCCCAGTGATTGGTGAGTGCTTCGGAAACTGGTTGGTGGTTTGGAACATGGCTTTTATTTTCCCCAATACTTGGGATGATCCAATCTGACTAATATTTTTCAGAGTGGTTGAAACCACCAACCAGGAAATGTCTATGTCGTGATTGATGTGATTGGCAGAATTGTTCAATGGTTTTGATGATTGAAATATTAAGGTAAAGGCAAGGCATGCGTTTTTTTAAACGTCTCCCGTAAACCATCGTAAGCCAATCCATTGAATCGAGACGCCACACAGTGTTCCAAGTTTTCAGCTTTTTTCGTTTCAGCAACGCGCGGCAAAATCCAGAACTATGACCAACTATGTCTATTATGACATTGTGAATGACTATGTTTGTGAATATGTCACTATGTTTGTTGTTTATATTTGTTTATTATATAAACTGCGACTAAAAATATCTAAGATTCTAAGAATGACATTAATAACACATTAATCGAATATCTAGAACATGGCGAAGGATATACCCAGCCGCGATTCTCGATGTCTGTGAGGTGTCCTTCTTTGTGCATGCTCTCTTGGAGCATGCCAACGAGGTCACGACACCCAGCAAATGTCCTGGTTGAAAACCTGTTTTTTTTTCCATATGTTTCCTGATATGTTCATTGCAAGGGGGGAATACATGCTTGTCCACAGTCATTGCATTACTGGCTTTTCGAAGCTAACCTTCCCGCCACCAATTGGCGAGGTACTTCTAAACCATATTGGTGAATGTTGTATATGTTGCTAAACCATCGAGTTCATAGTTAAGAATGAATTCTGATCCATCGATTACCAACTATGATTTCGAGTAAGATGGTATATCCTCTAATAGTTGATCGACATGTTGGGCGGTTAAACACCAATTGTCATTGGTAAACTTTCCATCATTATCTAAAATGTCAGGTTTTAGAACCATTAAAATACAGCCTTCTCCCAAGCTATTTGGCATGGTTGATGTGACCATGATTTGACGGGGTCGCATCGACTTCTCCCAATAGAAATTCTGTTGCCCCAAAAAAGTTGATGTGATTAAAGGCCTTCACTGTACCTGTAGACACGTCTATCAATCTATCAGTCTATCTCTATCTCTCTCTCTCTCTCTTTCTCTGTATTTGCATGTATATTATATATAATTATATATATAATTATATATATATATCATATTATCATATACATACTATATGACATATTCTCCTCCCCCTTGCCATTTCCATGAATGAGAATACCCGGGTGTTTTTTTGGTGAATGGGAAGGAGGCGACAAGGGTGTTGATTCTTCACCTACATTTTCCCAATAGATCACCCAACCATGGTTTCTGACCAGGGAGGATGATCGTATCTCTAGAAGAGTGACACTTTATTGTTTGGCTGCAGAAAATGACGGCACTCTTAATGCGACTGAGCTCACTCGTATCATGATGTGCCATAGGTAATGTTATTCTCCTACACAGCTTACCATGAAGAATATTGTATCAAAACAGGCCATCCTATGTTTTGCTGCCTTCGGAACAAAGTGTAGCCGGCAGATGGTACCAATTTACGCATATTTCGCCAAAAAACGCTGTCTCCCAAATCGTCAGGAGCGGTTCGAGATCTTTATCTACTCCAATGCCACTAGGGAGGACGACAAGACCGAGCTGTTTGAGAGTATCGTGCCACAGAGCTCAGCCCATGGAAATCCCGGGAAAATCCGATGTGGGATGGGCAATTCCTGAAGGCCAACATGTTGGGACGGGCCCTTGAAAGTGATGCGCAATATCAACTTGACCCGGTTTTTAGGGTGCAGGGCTAGATATATAACTATAATTATACAGTATATATAATTTAAAATATATCTTTTGAACCTTCCCTTGCCATGAATAGAGCAAGATGAATGGTCATCCGTTGAGGGTTGTATGGTACAAGAGCGTTCACGGCTGGCATCGCAACTGATTGTGATCCACCAGGGAGATGTTTGCCGGAAACTGGTTTCGATCTATTCACACTTCTATATGAGACCCAAATCATGTGATATGTGACACTATCTGATACTATCTATGGTGTAATATCGGAGTAATGTTATCCCGACCCAGTCCGCGGATCGTTTTTTTCTGGCTGATCGCCACCTGGCTCATCGCACGAGGCCACCCCAACGCTGGAGAAAGGTCGTAGGCCTGCCTGCCGTCGAGGCGCCGCCTTGCGATTTGAGCGAGAATGAACTGAAAAATATTGCAACAAAGAACATGGGAATGCGGTAAACCCAATAATAAACCATCTCAAAAATCACCATAATATACAAACCATCCCCTCCTTTGATAGGTTTGCCGCTGGATTGCCCACATGATATTGGTGCCATTGTGGTGATGCGTCCACCCTTATCCCCACAAAAAGGACAAACATTCTGAGGCTGGAAGTTCTGTTTTCCAAATGGAAGTTCCAAATCAGATTGAGATGTCTAAAATGTCCAAACAATGGTCCGAGATAATTACCTAGGCTTGTTCAGTGGTAGAGTCCTTGAACTGTTCTGGCACCAAAGATATTCTTTTCGTTGGTGCTCAGTCAGGCCGAAGTTCTTGCAGATCTAGCTCATCATATGTTCAACTTGTGGACTCCAAAAAATGGATGGTTTCAGATCCTAAAGACTACCAATTTTCGGATGGTCCATTGGTTTATTCCCCCAGTTTGGGGCAAACCCAGATCATCCATCTATTACTGATATTAACATCCCCATGTGTATGGCTTGATCTCCTTTTTTTGCGGATCAAAAAACTTTCTTAAAGCCCTTAAACTGTCAAAGTATTGCTGGTCGAATCTCCATCCTTACCGTTGACGTTGATGTTCCAAGCATGTTTGATTTTCCTTGCTGGTTGCCGCAACCCCCTTGGTCGAAAAGTCGCAAACTCCGGAAGGCCTGTGAATTGATCCGAGCGGATCAGATTGATATCCTGGTAGAGCTGGCAGGACGGGACTGCTGAAATGTCCGGAGCATCGGGAGTTGTCTAAAGCAACCCCAACAACGATATAACTATAATAGGACTAGGAATGATACTAGTAATAATACCACTAACTTATGATAATGATAATGATAATAGCAGTATTGATGAAAAAGTGTGACAATAGCAATAATATAGATACCCTCTAAAAAAAAGATAAAGGAGTTGTACGCCTAGAAAATATGGGGAAAACATCATCGAAGTGCCATCTGGAAGCACTTTTCTATTTTTGTGGAGGTTGCAATATTGGATACTGTACATCTCCCAGCCATTCCCTTAGATTTTGTAGATGTTTGTGGGAAGAATTAGTTCACTGGAAGTTGAACCTTTGGGTGGGGAGCTGGGAACAACCTAGGATATGTTTGGGTATCCAAATGGCTTGCAGCTTGCAAGATATTTGCTTTCTGAGTTTCGACTTATAGCAGTGAAAAACAGCCATTTTTCACTGCTTCAGGCGTCAAAATTGGAGACCCCAAAGCTACATAGATGGGCCCTGTTCGGCATTTCTGAGTATCTTGTTGTACCATTCACTGAATTTTGGAGCCAGTGCCCGAGATGATTTTTTGCCATACTCACTGGACCTACCCGAGATGAAAGCCAGGCAAGACATCCCTGCATTTGGGATATTTTGGGATATCTCATTGCAATTTTAAGGGTGACTTCTGTGAAAAAGATGGACAATGCTCCGACATGGTTTGGTTAGTTTGGTTTCTGTTCTTTCAGCTAAATCATTCTCAAACAAACTATTCAAATATGTTTAATTCCGGTTTTTAAGTACATTAGGACGATGAGCCAAATTGAATAAATCGTAATAAATCATATTAATGAGGCGGGGGAGCTCAACCATCTGAGATTTGGTTTCCCTTGAAGATGCGATTCGTCCCATGGAAACCATCCCCCTTGGGGCGAAAAAAAACCTGCAGGACATACGGCCAACAACCGACTGGACGTTATCGCCTTGCCCCTTGGTCAGAATGGTGGGCCCATACCTGAAATTGGGAATACCCCAAGATGAAGTGATGGTTTTAAAGGTTACCCCATTTTCAGACCAAGCGATATATTCAACTCTCCATTTTCTATTGGTCAGGCGAGTGTCTATATATCATTCATGTCATTGGAAGCATGACAGGCTATCCGGCCCCGTCCCAACTGTGTTCCTATTGTTTCTTGATTGATACTGGGTGTACAATGTTGTATATAATTATATATACATATATATATATATATGCACAGTGCAGTATATGTAAATTTCTGGGTTCCCATTTGCTTTATGGTCCTTGTTATCGACATTAGAAATGTTTTTTTTTAAAGGTCCGAAAAGCTGTAGCTCATCCCCAACTCCTCACACGGTTCTTGAGTCGCATTCGTCTCAGGAAAGCAGCACCGATCCAGTGGGAAGCCCAGTGAATGGGGAGATCCAGATGTTGGATCTAGTCTATGAACTGTATATGTATATATTCTACATACATATATATATACATATATATATATACATATATATATATATATATACATATTTATATATATATACATATATATATATACATATATATATATATACCTATTCTATATATATATATAATTGTATGTTACAGTAGTGATAATGGTTAAATATCGTCACGTTGCATCAAACAGAAATGTTGACCATTAAGAAAGGAATATATTGGAAATGTAACCAACTTCATATGATCAAGACCACTGGATTTTGAGATATTTTCAGATAAACCCACATGTTGCCTGATTTTGCTGGGACTCGGTTGATAACCACGCTTTGTGAAGTCTTCCAAGGAGTCTTGCTTCTAGCATTTTGAATCTGGAACCTCAAAATGCCGTGGCGATCCGTGTTGTGGAATTCAGGTATCCCCGGATATCCCCCCAAATGGTGGCGATTCCAGTAGGGAACATCGTGCTGATGAAGCGGCAAATTTGGGGCTTGAAAAATCTTGAAATCACCAGAGTCGGGGATGTGATCTTTGTTCGAAGCAACAGATTCCAACAGTAAGATCTGGAATTCCACAGATATCTATTTTTGGTAAGCTATAAATCGAACTCACGGACTCCCAGTTTAGTCGGGAGATAGCCGCATAGCCATCGTTGAGCTGTGGGATACTGAGGATCACTTACATTGGCTACAACAACACCACCGGGCCAGAGTCTGATGTTGCACTCGGACCAAACATGTTGAAAACCGAAAGACGCATCAGGGCGTGTCACAGTATCCACAGTGGTGGAATTGACATTTGGTGGAACGAAGCTCATTTTCTTTATGTTCATTGCCGATGGCGGATAACCATTATTTGAGGCATCGGAGGTTTGCATATATGTCCACGTACCTTCAGCTGTTTCAGCCAGAGATAAAGATTAAAGTGAGACATCACAAGGTATTGACTCATGATAGCAAATATGCTCGTTTCGGAGATCTTTGTCTTTTTCAGCAAATTTTCTTCAAGCAAGCGTACCCAGTAGAACATGTAAACCCCCTTCCAGGAATCACACATGAGCGATTATTTTTCTACCTTGCATTGCATGACCACCAAAAATCAGAATGAGTGTAAATCCAGTGAAAAATGCTATTACTAGCACCACAAAAAATCAAACAAGTACATGAAAATCATGTATGAGAAATATCAAAAATCAAAGGAGACATCGGTTTCCATTGGCCAAATAACTGTTTTGAATGGTGATGCTTCCCTGTCCCGGTGCCACACCGGATGAAGCGGTCTTGGATCCCTACGTCTATGCGGGACAACATGCGGGCAGCAGCATAAGTGGCTGGTTGCTCTCCCTCAGCACTCTGATGATGCTGGGGGGTTGTCTTGCAAAAGCCAGAACCTGGGATAGAAAAGAAGGCATTTATAATATGATATAATAATATATAATATATAAGTATATGTACATTTGTATATATGTGATTGCATATATATATATATACATATAATATATATATATATATACATATAATATATATATATATACACATGGTTTTGTTTTATTTTACATGTATTCTGTAATTACATTATATATGTTATGTATTTTATATATTATATATATAAGATGTATATGCACATAATGTGTAGCTATTATTTGTTATTATATATGTTATTGTATATTTACTATATACTATGTATATAATATTTTTTACATATACAGTAGCATATAGCCACCCAGATCTAGATTTCCGTTCATGTTCCTGTCACCTGTTTTTTGGTTTTCCCATGATTTACCCAGGGGAACACTTCAACCTTCAGAGGATCAACCAACCCAGGAAGAAATGGTGGAATTTGGCTACTCCTCAGCATTTGGTCTATTTTTTGCCTGGGATCATTTGTGCTGCAAGCTGTTGCGCACAGCTTTATCCCGGCAGCCGAGTACATGCCTCTGCTGCGAACTGCACGTGTTTTGTTGGCCCTTGGGGCAGGAGCTTTTCTGGCGATTGGCACAGGTGTTGGCGAGAGCTGGTTGCCTGATACTTGGATTTGCTCAGGTTTACTGCACAGGTGAATTCTCCAGTTGTGGCTGCTCGGAATATGTTCAATTGTTTGGGGGCATTTTAAACCCAACACGAAAATTATTCGTTCTTAACCCAACTAAGAAACCTATCGAACTTATATGAACATAGTTATTGACATTAGTTTATTTTAGACTTTAGACCAAAATCAAGGACAGAAAAAATTGGAAGATCCTTTGGGCACTTGTTTGGTTGATGACCATAGCTTTAACCGCTGGCTTTGTTGCTGTCACGTTTCTGGCATCCGACGACGATGGAGATTTGGCGATGGCAGCCGTCATGAGCCTCGCACTTTTCTGGGCTGCGGGGATTTGGATCGTTGCTGCTCTCAAGAAGCTTGGAATTCCTTTCAATGTGGTGTATAAATGGTATACATTGAGAATATATATATATGAATATATTGAGGCTCTAATCCCTATAGGATTGAATCAACCTCTGGATGGATTTGGTGATTTTTTTCTATTGCTACATCCACCAGAAATGAGGAAATCTACTGGGAATATGTTTTAATTATTCTGTTTGATTTTTCTTGGATTGGCGCCCTTAGGCGCAAATCCAAGGAAGCGTTTGCAGGATGGTACCAATGCTGGAGATTGGTTCATTCAGAGGATTGTTGCCACCTTACTCCTGGCTGGCGCCTTTTGGTTGTTCCCCTTGTTCGAGCCTACCTGTGGAATCCGGGGTCACTTCGAATGCTACAAATCCTGCCCGGTGGGCCCAGGCTTGCCCTACTTGTTTTTTATTCCGTTCTGGTGGATCTGCAACTTCGCGCTGGCGGCGGCTCAAGACAAATCCTTTCCGGACGAGCCAAAGTGCTGGTTGCTAGCGAAGATCAATTGCAAGGGAGCAGATGGAGATGACGAGGGACCTTAAATTCCAGGATGCCGCCATCTCAAAACCTCGCTGATTTCAACATATTCCATTCCAACTCACGGGCATCAGAACTCAAGAGTTGTGCATTTCGTGGTTGCTACGGCAGCCAATGACCTATTTGCTTTTTCAATCTTTTTCACCAAGGCTCTAGATGTTCTCTTTTGCAACTTGCATTGCGATTAGCCCCACGCCCCTCCTTTGTGCAGTCTGCGCAGATCCCTGAAGGGGCACTTCTGCCTGATTTTCACTGGGGGGTTGTATTTTGTACAATACGGCACTCCTATCAGCCTGAAGAAAGCAGCAGAAATCCACTCCAAGTCTGTCGGTTTGTTTCATGAGCAAAACGACAGTTGTTTGCGTCTGAAAATGGGGTATTCAGCAGAAATGTTCATTACCCTGGTGGGGTATTGAATGAGATATGTCTGTAATTTGTTATCTGGTGAATCAATGTGAATCATCACCCTGATTCAATGGCTTTCACCGGCGAGGTTGGGTGCCATTGACTATCGTTTGGTGGATGAAATGGTCGATCCGTCGGGGGCTTGAGATAGATGAATCGAAAGATTGGATGAAAAACTGAGGATCCATCCACGAGTCAGAGGTTCTTTTTCCTCCAATTCGAGAAGGTGCTGATATTTTACTGGTGGTTTCAAATTGTTTCAAATATGACTTATGTTATGTTCGACATTTTTCAACCGAACTGGGATGATCCCCAATGACGAGCATAGCATTTGTTTCAGGGCTCCAGCAGTCGTACATGGCGAGGTTGGACACGACTCAGCCCTTCAGTGAGGAACTGGTGAGAGTCCCGGGGTCCGACGCTCAGGCAGAAATCCCTGTGATTGGAAAAGATGATGAAAATTGAAGCTTTGCTTTCCAGAATGATCCAAACTAAGACAAAATGAAGATAAAATGAAGATCTGTGTTTTTACTTGTGGGACAACTAACCCCGGAAGAATTCTTAGATGACCCTTCCTGCTCCCAAAACTTCAAGTGCTGGGCTTCCCAGGTGCTTCTTGTGCTACACGCCACCCTCCCGGGTGCCGGACATTGAGTGCGACTCTAAGAATTCCTGCCTCAAACTTTGGGGGGTTAAAGCGGGGGTTTTACCCTCTGGTAAACTAACATAGCTATAGAAAATCACCATTTATAATAGGTAAATCAACTATAAATGATCATTTTCAATAGCTATGTTAGTTTACCAGAGGGTATTGCATGTTAAAGTCATGATTCTGTAGGCATGCCAGCCCAGAAAGCCTGGTTTGGTGGTGGACCTGTTCATTCTGCACCCAAAGAGGCAGTCTACTAGCGTTGTACAACTATAGTCATTATAGTCGCTAGTCGATCTACCATATTGTTTATCGTTTTTACATCGCGATGTTTTTTGGATTAAATACTAAATACATCTAAATACCAAGAGATCTTCAGTTTTGTTGGTGAAATATCCAAGAAAAGCACAATCGGATGATGTCGTGCAATCTCCTGCTTCAAAAGATGGGAGTTACATCGGTTTTTTGTGTGATTTTTACCATGTGCATCCATGTGCCATTCGTAGATCCTGGATCTGAAGTTTCAAAGCCGACTCCAGGGAAAGATCAGGACCTTAATGGATAATATGGATATGTATCGATCATGTTATTTAAGGGTGGCTTCATGTTTATTTCCATTGAAGGCCTTGGCTGAGTGTGAAGTCATTGTGCCAGTTGCTGGTGGTATATTTTCCCCATGTTGAAATCGAGAGATTGTCCCAATGTTATCCCTATCTTTTGGCCATGATATCCACCATAAAAAATGACCATTTTTTGATGTCCCCAGATGTCCCCTGGATGAAGAAACCAGCCGAAAAAACGGGCAAACGACATGAAAGATCCAGGGAGCTGCCGGCACTTCGGCATGGCTTCGTGACCTTTGGGAGTGCGGAGCCCAAAACAAAAACAGGGCGGCTGATTTTGTTCGTTCCTTCGTCATGGCTTTCATATGGCTTTTGAGCATCAAAATATGGTGATATAAGTGGATAGAACTGATGAATGACGGATGGTTGATTTGTTGGGATTAACCATCATATGGTTTTTAAAGAAATAAGTCAAGGGATATAAAGAATAAATGATGATTGGTGGATGATGAGTTTGGGGACTATACTACCTAAAAATACCTAAAACATATTTGGGATTAAATGGGATTTATATATATATATATATCACACCAATCTCGTGCGCCTGCAGGTGCCTGCAGATGCCTGTAGGCATCTACATGCTATTACCCCGGGGGGAATTGCCTTTCAAACTAGTTGCCAATTGAGTTTCCAATAGGATGTCTATCTGCGTTTTTCTGTGGACTCACAGTCCATAAAAATCCATGGGGAATCCCTTTCTCAATTGCTGGCTCTGACTCCAACTTCTATCCACAAAGAATCTAATGTGGTTAAAAGCAATGTCATTTGCACCATCCCCAAAATCACCATTTTTATAGGTTGTGTAAGCCATTCCCAAATGGGTGGTTTATTATTGTTTTAACCACATTATTAGAGAATTATAGAGATATGATTAGATGGTTTGCAAATTACAGCTGCAAAAGTCTTGACGATTTCAAACCGTGCTGAGCCATGCCCGCATCATTTAGTACTGTACGTTAACCCTGGTTAGGAAGTCCCCAATTCGTGCGTTCTCCTATTAACACATGATTTTTTGAAAATTCTCCGACCTCTTTTTCTAAGTAACAAAAATCCTACAAAAGTTCGTAAAAACCCTTGAAATGACACCCTTGCAGTAACCACTTCCTGTGGCTAGGCGACCGTGGGTCGCCGCACGATTGACCGAGGCTTCAGTTGCTTGGCCAAGGTGGGTGATCCTGTGGTGGCCCTTTGGGCCCGATGTCTGCACGAGGCCATGCGCGACGCGTTGCCGTGGCGAGAATGGCGAGGTTTTGTGGGTTGCTGGTTGAATGATGATTGAATGCTGGTTGAATGTTATGGCTTTCCTGGCCTTGTCTGAAAGTGGAAGATATATATATATATAATTATATACCTGAGAGTAGTCAAGCGTTTTCAAAGGGAAAGTGATTTTCAGAACCAAGCGATTTGGGGATGATATTCAGACACACCCAAAAAAGGGAAGCCCAAGAAGGTGACGTTGTCCGTCAGGTGCCCAACAGCAGACTGCTGGTGAAGAACAAGGGATTTTACTCACCGGATGTGCAGGCGTTACGGCCGGGGGCATGCCGTGCAGGATGACCCAGAAATACCCAGAATATGAGAAGTTGTGGATCAACTTGTTGAACCCTAAGCTACAAGTGTTGTAAAAACTGGATGAAACTGGATGAAATTGGCACAGCTGCGCAAATTTTGTAGTAAACATCCTACAGCAACTGTGACCTGATCCTTGCTGAAGGTTTCGGAAAGCATCGATGTCGGTATCAAAATTTGCCCCCAAATCATTGCGGAGCTTTCCCGCGATGCACAGATCATCGCCGATCGTTGATGCGCAGGCCACCTTCATCGCGAAATTTAAGGCCTGTGGCATCCCCGAACACCGGCAGGAGCCTAAGGTCGGACTGTGGTAAGATGTGGAAGTCTAGGAAAACACCAAGGATATGCCAAAAATGATCAACATCATAATGGGTCCCCTGATTGAACCCCAACTCTTAGTCACGATTTCTTGAATCCGAGTTAGGGAACCCACATTTGGATTTGAATAAAAAAACTGTTTTGGACGGGAGATTTCCCATGACGTTTTGACTTCTTCACTTTCAGCTTCGATGTGAGGTTAAAGCTGATGGCTTTGGCTCCCACCTCCTATGAGCACTTGAACATCTACAACGAGGCAAAATCGGGAATCCAACGATATCCAGTGATCTCCATGTCCTGCATCCAAGATCATCCCAGTATAAAATGATCGAAAATAGGTGATGGTAGAATATGATAGCAATACCCCATGTATCCCGACGGGATCCCATGTGAAAAAAAAATGTGTACGAGATATGGCTCATCTATGGTCATATCATATCATCTCATTTCTAAAGTAGTAAACCCATTCAAAACAATTTTAAACACATATAATCACATATACATGTATATATACAGACCTTCTGGTAAATTAACATAGAACCTGAAAATAGCCATGGGTTTTTCCATGGTTAAACTCGTCTTCCAACCCCTTTTTTTTCCAGGCTGCCAGGGTCTAAACCAGGGTCGAATCGGTCGCAGGTGGACATTGCCCTGGACACCTTCCCCTACTCCAACACCACCACGACCTGCGAGTCACTGTTGATGGGTCAACCGCCTCAGCACGCCCATGGATTTTCTCAGTGGTTGATGGCGTGAAATTCGGGAAATTCATTGGAAATACCTGAAAAAAGACCTGGTATTTGATGGTCAAAACATGTAGAAATCAAAAACCCATGGATTTTGTGTTATTTTCCACTGAGTGATTGGTTTTTGTACCATGCAAAGTATCATGGACGAACTTGAGACGTTGCAAGAGTTGCAGCAGCAGAGGTGATGAGATATCAGAAGCGTTTATTCAGCACTCAAGCCATTAAAAGCACTCCTCTTGATAAGTTGATACATATATACATATATATATATATATACAGATATGTAGCAATATATATATATATATTATTGTAGTGGATATATATATATATATATATGTATATATTGGAGTGTATATATATATATTATACTGTAAGGGTTCTACTGATTGGCTCATTGCGGATGGTTATAACCCACAATAGGAATATTGACTGACGGGAGGATATAAGAGGGGTATTTTTCATGGCTCACTGGAAGGGTTGAAGGACCTATGTCAGACTTGCACAGAAATGCCGGATAAACAAAAAGCGATACCCAATGATAACCCCAAGATACCCCCAAGAAATTTGCAGTGCTGCAAACATGGCCCTATCACAGAGGAAAATCTTGTTGCAGCAACGTTTCCCGCTTTCACATTGAATCTCAGAGGGTTCACAGTATGTGGCTTCTGGAAGTAAGGTACACTAAATTCCAACTATGAATAATCCATTTTCCCGTGAAAATTGCCATAAGTTACCGGTATACCCTATTTCCACACACACACCCATATAGCATATCAAATCTTGTTTACATTATCAGTTTCTGTGATGTTCTATATATATATATACGTATTAAATGAATACGATTTATTGATATATATATATATATGTGTGTGTTTGTATGTATATAACATATGTATATAGTATATGATATATGATATATGTTTGTTCATCCATCAACAAATAAAAGACATTATTTAATGTGTAAATCCATTCCCCATGTTTGATGTTTAAATATATCAGAGTCTTCTCTTTTGCCAGGGAAATTCTCTGCCTAAAACTGGCTGAGGAGTACCTGCTGTCACTCTGGTGGGAAATACACATGGCTCCCGAGTCCGACACCTGGGAGGTGATCGACTTGTAAACAGTGTAGATCACTGGACAAATTCGGAACAAGTGAATGAGTTATCATGAGTTACCCATGTTTTGTTCCAGAGTTGGTTGTTGTTTTGATATATGTTGATCATGTTTTAACATGTTTTAACAAATTTGATCTGAGCGAAAACTCAGCACCAGGGATAGTCGCTAATCGCAGATCCCAGGGAAGTGTTTGTCACGCGCACGAGGTTTGCTATACATTGCTTAATGCTATTGGCATTGGCGATTTTGCTGCTCATTCTCAGGCGCCAGAGTTTCGATCTTATGGACGCGGGTGAACCTGGTGGATTTTGATACTAAGCCACCGCCATTTGGGGGCTGTAAATTTTGACCACCCGAATGACTGGTCCAAAAAGATTCACAATTTCCTAGAATTGTTTGCGGGAAAATCTGCAGGAGCTAATAGTTCAATATCAACCAATCTGGGGTATATAATTTTACCAGCCACTTTGCGGTTGGCGCGTGAGGCTATAATTGGTCAAAAAACCCACAGCCTGGCTGATTTGCCAGGAAGCCTATGTGACGAAGGTTGGGAGCTCTGAAGGACTCCATATGTTTGGGAAACTCTAGCTTCATAGCTTCTGGTTGGTGGTTTCAACCATGACTTTTATGTTCCATATTTTCCATAATATATGGGATAATCATCCCATCTGACTCATATTTTTCAGAGGGGTTGAAACCACCAACCAGGCTTCAACGCTTCCCCATTTTTCATTGGGAATATGAATACCCCGGACCGCAGCTCCTGAGTTTTCCTGACCACTGGATAGATAATGTTTCAAGATGTTTCTTATGTGTTTATCGATTTTTCATAGAATTGTATGATGGGAAAATTTACAGGAAAGCCGTATATTTGATGGTAAAAACCATGGTTTCCGGTTAAGATTTTCCCTTAAACCAACCCAATGAATTTTACATGATTTTACAATATATTTTACTACACAGCTATTTATCACCTCCAAAAGCGCAAGCACAGTAAGGCAAACACCATCCCAGACCATCCCTGGTTGAAACAGACATTGCGTTAGCCTTCATAAATCATCTCCTATATGGGTGTATGATGTATACCTACTAATTGGGCTTTAGAATTTGATCAGTAGGTATATACCCATATAGTAGCTATAAAGTGACTAATCCAATATACCATCATAGCCACTATTTGCATCTATATATCTGGTACTGTATATTTAGTCCTTTTTTTCCACTATTTCGAACTGTGGATCCCCGGCATTTTTCTCCGATGTCCACAACGGCAAATGGGACACGCCAAGGTGAAGGGCTTGTGTTCCAACCTCCAGACCCTGGCGTTGCTGCGGCAAAATCTGCGACAGGCGGCTTTTCAAACATGGCAAGGATGGGATGGTGATGGATGGTGTAACGGTGTAACCCCGCCAAAAAAAGGATAGAAACGTGCTAAACGACCAACACTATAGCAATATCATGTAATATCACAATAACGAATACTAGATTGATTAAACTGGGAAATATATGTAAATATGGTTTCTGTTTTTTTCTAGGGTTGCTTTGGTTTGATGACCAGCACAGATGTCAATGAGTATTTGACTGGCCAAATCTGACAAACCAACCAGGGCTTGACCTGTTGGGATTTTTTTTTTCACAGAACCAAAGTGATAGTTCTTCAGGAACTATGGCTAGATATGCTTGTCATAGCTGCCAAAAAACCGCGTCTGTGGGACGGTTAGTCTACCAACATCTTGGGCGTCATATGGCGTCATCAGGTTTTGCCTGAATGGCATTGGGTTGGTTTAAGGGAAAATCTACAGGAAACCATGGTTTTTACCATCAAATATAGGGTTTTCCTGTAAATTTTCCCTCTATGAGAATGGCAACAATATCTTGGGGAGTACTTTCCAGGGGAAGCAAGCCTCGGTATGTGAAGAGAGTCAGTAGAACCGTTTGATGGCATTGATGACATCTATTCAGCTGGCAGTTTTTTTTGATGAGATGCCATTGCATTACCGAGTGTTTATTGCTTCAGATACCAAGGTGATGGACGACTGCTTTTGAAAGATATATGGAATATCAATATGGTTTGATATGATTATTTTCTTCTACAACACAGGCTGATACATCCAACCACAACTTTTATGCCACCACAACAGGCACTTCTATCCTAACCCCCCAGATACCTCGTGCCTGCTGCCTGCTGCCTGCTGCCCAGATCATGCTTTCCTCGCCCCTCTGCGATGGACCGGGCTTTGTGCGTGAGAAGTACGAGCCTGGTTCCCGTCGCGGGTGGTGGGCCAAGGGTGGCACTTCAGGGTCAACTAGATCGGTGACCAGGCGAGACCAGAAAAGATGATAGCCGATGGCCGTTCAAATGTCTTAAAATATCAATCAGTATCATCAATATATGCCCGTTGAAGATCTGATTTTTGCATATGTATCTGGATCCCCAAAAATGCATGTTTTCACTCGATGTTCAATACTCAATAAACGAATCTTCTGGGTCATTGGTGCCCCATCTTTGACCCATCTCCACCTGTGGGAAATCCGATATAATCCCGATAAATCCTGAAAAATAGTTGTAACATGTTGTAACATGTTGTACATAACTTCTCCCATTTTTCACCTCAACCTCCCATTTTTCATCCCCTAAATCTGTGATTTTCGTCCCATCATCTCTGGCGTCCAATCAACTGCTGGAAATCCAAACTGCCTCGGAGCGACCTACCTAGGCCGATCCTACTGGAAAAGTGGGCAGCCTACTGCAATGGCAGAGCTCCGTCGCAACAGGCGAAGATCTGGGGATGGGTCAGCCGCATGGTCAAGCCATTTGGCTTGACCTGTGCCATCTAAAGAACTGCTTGGTGGTTTCAAACATGACTGGATTATTTTCCATTTCATATATGGGATGTCAATGGATGTCATCCGAAAGCCATTGACTTGCACTCCATCATTTTTCGGAGGGGTGGCTCAACCACCAACCAGAGACTCTTTAGTATTAACATGTATTAACCATCCAATGATGTCCCCAAATTTGACCCCCATTTCTTGATTTCAGAAGGGAGCTTCCATGATTAAGATCACCTGGAGGATCATCCCATGTTTTTCGTAACGGTTTTCGTCACGGTGATCGTAACTTCCCTATTCTGAGCCCCATGTAGATGGCCATGATGGGTGAACTATCGTGATCCTAACCGTCCTAACGAGGACGAATGAAATCCCGAGTTTGCAGATTGCTTGAAGCCACGATTCGAATCACTGACTAAATTCATTCATATATACCCTCTGGTAAATTAACATAGACCCTGAAAACAATCACTTTTTATTGGAAACTAGTCTTCCAACCCCCATCTGCCAGGGTCTATGTTAATTTACTGGAGGGTAATCACTGTGAATCCCCATAGTTATATCACTATGGATGATAGAATCACTGAGTGAATCCCCATCGTTCACTATGGAGGTCTTTAGCAGCTCGGAGCCGCCCGATCCGCTCGCGTTGGAGCCCCTGGCCCGATGCGAGGTCAAGTTTGACTCATACCCAGTTAAGTTACTGAGAGGCCTAAGCCATGTCCTGTAGAAAATGAAAATTTATAATTGATTTTCCCATAAACAAATGTGATTTTTCCATAGTTATGTTAGTTTACCAGAGGGTATCTGAAAAAATGTTGCGATCTGATATATCAGACATATATACATACATATATACATGTATCTATACATGATATATTAGATTAATATGTCAAATAGTGTTTATTATTGATAGCTATTTGACTCAGCATGTGTCAGCATGTATCGGCCCATCCTGGGTCGCTTTGAGGCCAGGACCCTTTGCACCACCATTGATGCCAGGTAGGCCGCATGGTCGCCGCATGGTGCCGCCGTTGCCATTGTCATATGACTTGGGTTAGAGTTTTGCATTGTACCCACTAGTGTCAGAAACCACTATTCTTGGTTTCTTCTGTTTCTTTGCCATTCATAGCCTTTTTCATGTTTCAATTTATGCGGTATTTGGTGTGGTTCCATTTTTTCTCTGAAATGTGTCCTCACTCGGCTCCAAGTGTTCCTTGTGGTTGCCCGTTCTAGTCAGGGTTGCTCCAGCCCGGTATAGGTAAATATGGTAAATGATAGCGGCACTGTTTCTTTTTTCGCCATTTTACCACGAGATTTTGCCAAGTTATCCCCCTTCTACCTGGGGTTTTGGGAGCAACGTTGCTACTGGATGCTTTTGGAATCGCCAACCCCACAGGCCAGCCTTTCCTGCAGGGCCCAGGCTCGTTCATGCCTCAAAAAGGAACGGAGAGAAGAGAGTGAGAAATTGACAGCTCACTACATAAAGTGTATATCAGATAATATCAGATAATATCAGATAATATCAGATATATCACTACATATATACATAAATATCAGATAATATCAGTTATCAACCGACCATTTACTGTGGTTTTTTTTTAAGGATCGTCCCAGAGTCGCATCGCTCTTCGGACCACCAAGGACTTCAAACCCACAGGCGTCAACCTGCAGCTGTTGGCACGTGCAGTTTGTCTCCTCGAATTGTCAATTTTTCGTAATAAAAATGACCATCATGGGATTTTGGGGTAGCCGCAATCTTTGAGCCCTAAAATTGCCAGAAAAAGAAGAGGACTATGCATATATATATATATAATCTACTGGAGTTTTGGGCCCCATGGGTACCCTATCTTGAGCCATAGCCATATTTTTGAAAGGCAGCTAAGATAGACATGGTAGATACACCTCAACGGTTTCTGAGGAGAAGCAACGAGTTACATAGGTTCAAGCTACAGCTTCATCTAAAATCTATACTGAAATTCTATGCTGAAATTTATCTTGGTTTGTCTGAAATAAATATATAATGCAGTGGTTTCAACCAACATTTTCTGATGGTTAAATCCACATTCGCCATGGTGAAGTCGATGAATTACACCCGTTTTTCTCGGGGGGATGGTCATCAATCCACTAGGGATACATACACATGATGTTTGGATTCCCATGGCATGGGATGGATGACCATAGCACTTATTGAAATAATTCACTACTTAATACATCATGATAAATCCCCATGTTCTGATGTTTGAATTCACTCAATGGGAATTTCAAGAGCGTAAATAGAGATCATTACTGTACCATATAAGGCCATATGATTTTGTTGGTAGATTCCCGTGAACATAGCCCTTAGGCCTCAAAACAGGGCTTGGCCATCGCCAGGGGCAGATGGCCATGGCAACAATGCCCGTGGCCAACCAACCAATGCGCCTCGCCAGGGAGAAACGGCCATAGTCCTGAAGATCGGAAATCCATGGGATTCCTGATGAAAACAACTGAGAGAAACTCCCCAATTTATTCAGGATTTGACCCAAAAATGCGAAAAAATGCCAAAAAATATCCATGAATCACGTGTGTTTCACGACGTTTCACGAAGTTTCCACATATGTTGTTCCCATGGAATTCACCGTGGATATCTTGTCCGCCCCAGGTTGACCCAGGCAGTCGGCCCAGAGGGATGGAGATGGGATGGGATGATTTTCCCAATGATTTCAGGGAGAATTCGCCGGGATTTTCTCATTTTATTCATTGGGAAATGATAGTGATATGAATAATGATCAGGAATTGAATTAGTGAGTGACTCTGGTAGTGATATGTCTAGTGGGATTGGTTTCTGGATGGACTGGGATTATGGTACTCCATTTTCCCAATTTTATTCTTGGAGTGATGGGATTATAATGATTGATACTCCATTGCTAGTGATAGTGATGAAATCTGGGTGAGTACAATCCTCGGTTATCTTAGTATTGATGGAGTCATGTTTTAACCGCCATCCAGATTTGTTAGAGATTTGAATGCCATAAATGTATGAAACAACCCCAGTGATTCAAAATGTTAACCATTTTTCCAAAATTAGGCATGCTAGGCGCTAGGCATTTCAGAGCCTCCCGTCGGACTTGGAATCTTTCAGGCTCTGACTTTGCACTTTTGTTGACACAAATTTTGTGTGGTGCAATTGTGGACACCGAAATCATCCGAAAGTTGGTCGCTGTTTTCAAACCATCCGCGTTCCACTGATATTCCAAGATGATTTGCTGGGCAATATGACCTGACGACTGAGGCTATTCCTATGGCCTCGACTGTGTGGAACGCTCAATCACTGCAACAGACCATCGTGTCCTGCGGTGCAAGATGACTAGCTGGGAAATCACCAATTTCAATCGGAATTTCCTCTACGAACTCCTGACTTTTGCCTGCTAAGGGCTTAAGTTAGATTTATGTCAAGGATCTGAGGATCTATGAATCTACGGGTTTGACCAAAAACTATGAAAAACTGGGTACCAGTACCCCCAACAATCCGGTGTGTCGTTTTGAATGTCCGTCCATGTCCGTCCTATATTTTCCCAATGTCCGTCCAGTCCAGTCGGGGTTTGGACCCAGTCACCAGTCACGGCCAGGTCCCCACAACAGCTGAGTTTCTGCCCCACTGGATTGGCTCCAGTCTTAGCGCTGCGATGCGGTTCTCATTCAGCTGATATCAGCTGATCAAGATTGGGATACCACGGACTACTATAGCTAGAATACCATTATGAATGAACATTATTAATGATATACTAGTACTATTTACTCCAGTATATTTAGTGGTATCTCGAGCATTTCTGCTAGCTACTTGATGCTACTTGTTTCTGGATCGATTAGATACAGCTACTTATATATCGTCAATGTTGTCCGGTAAATTCAGAAAGAAACCAAAGTACTGGGCTTAAAAGACACACTTCCGGAAGATGATTCGAATTGAAGCTTCACCGGTGATGGTCAGGTGATTGCTGATGCACCAAGCTCAGGGGATGACATTGTCGACATATTGTGGGTAGCGATGTGTTGAAACATGTTGAAACCACCAGTCGTTGGACTTGTGGGTAGTGAATTTTTAACAAGTTTCGAGAAAATTTTGGTTGGTTCAGTTGGTTCCCACAACTTGGAGGTCCCAAGCTGTCCAAGTTATCGATCATGTCACCAATGGTGGGCCCCTGATTTTTAGGACCCCGGCATGATGAGCTCCTCCCTGAGACCTGAGGGCAGTCCGATGTCGCCCATCATGCGGCCCACAGGTGGGATACGCGCAGATTTTTTTTTCTAAAGGCAACATGGTTCAAGATGATAGGGAAATGATGATAGGTAAACCATGTGATAACCATTTTTTGAGAAAGCAGTGGATGAAATGGGGGGTGAACTTTCTCATTCAAAAACACGAGGGTGAAGCCATAGATTATTTCTATGGGTCAAAACCATCCAATTGTCATTAACTCACGTGTCAACTATATGCACCAACTTGCATTCACTATTTATATATTATATATGTATATATATATATATTATTATGTTTTATTTTATGATATTATATGATATTATATTGTATTATATAATTATAATATATGTTATATTACATTATATATTATATTATATTATATTATATTTTATTTTATTATATTATATTATATCATTATATGATATAATATTACATTATATTATATTATATTGTATTTGAACATATGATATTATATTGCATTATATTACATTATACCATGTTATATATTATTCATATTCTAATTTATTATATGTTGTTATATTATTCCATGTTATATATATTATTCATATTTAAATTATTATATTATATTATATTATATTTTCGACAATTCTATTATATTATTATACTTTATTATTATATTATATTATATTAATTATTATATTACATTATATTATATTATGTTATATTTTATTATATTATGTTATATTATATTATATTATTTATTTGTGTGTGTTCCATCTAATCAGTACAGTTTAGACTATATGTTTTGCCTTTTATAGCTATAGTTATTGTTCTATCATGTTCTGTGTATATATATATATATATTTATTTAGGTGTATAGTTACATGAAATCTCATGATAGTTTTAGAATGTTTTATATAGATAAATGTGGGTAAAACAATGGTAAAATAAACCACCCATGACTGGGAATGGTTTGAATTCCACACCTTTAAAAATGGTGATGACTGGGGGATGGTAAACATGACATTGTTTTACCCACATTAGTATGATATCGTCAAGTCTGATCTCCCATTTTTTCATCGTCGCAGCTTGGCAAGTGGCACAGCCGGCGCCGACCGCAGGGAGGACCCAGGAATAAATCCGACCGGAGCTGTTGAGTGGGGAACCAACAACAAAATTACGTAATATGGAAAGACTAAAATAACAAAAACACATGGAATGTCATTTTATGCAACTATTATTTCAGGATTCAATTTTTTTTCCGATTGGCTAGTTCAGAAAGATCCGATATGGTAGAAGGTCTCCCAGAATTTCTTCTTTTAACAAAATCCAGGAACGTCCATGACATGTCGTTGCAAAGACGCGGGTTTCTCATACTGAAGATTTTCCCTCAAGCCAATCCATTGAAGCTTGAAATGATCATATATGTGGTAGAATGTCCAACTTCTTGATGGTATGAACACGTGAAATGATGTTTTGATTGGTTGCATATAATGTTACATAATGATCAAGGGTAACATGTCGACTTTTGGTTGGTATAGAAATGGTGAATCATGTCGTGTGCAAAAAAGATCATACTAGTTTCGCTCGGCTTTCCAGATGCTGGACCGTATCTCGCAACAACACCGCTTCCTGAATTGAAAGAAACTCGACTCTCGAGGTGTTTTCACGTTGCACCTCAATAATGTCAGCAACTATGGTACAAAAAATCAAATTCTGGCTCAGAAACGAGATTCAAAGAATCATTCCATCAATCCTTCCATGCTCGTATCTCATTCGATGGCCTTCAATCGCAGTTTCAAGAAACCGGGTGTTGGTTAGGATACTATGGGGGTTATTGACCAACCCTTTATTACTATACAGATTCTTGTAGTCCGTGAATTTGTCCCCACGAAAAGCATCATAAAATATCATAATTTTTAGTGATGTATCTCAATTTCCAATCACCAAGAATCCCCATATTGTCAGGGATTTCCACTAAGTCACCTTTTTGAATTCCCAGACTTTCCCAGATTCATCCCTTCACCGAGGTAGCTCAGGTGCAAGTGGTGCTGCCAGGTGCGAAGAACCGGGGTTTTGTCTGAAAATTGAGGGGAAACACACACACACAAATTTAATGGTTTGAAATTGTTAAACACCTGATTTTTTTCATTTTGTTTCTATAAAATGGCCAAACATTGCCAAATTGTGTGGAAGCAACCCGCTTTTCCCGAAAAAAAATGCTGGCTCGGGGGGTGGGCAAAGCCAACTACACTGACGTACATATATCAACATCGTATGACACTATAAAACATTATAAACCATCCAGAAAGAGATGTTCGAAAAATTCTTGGGCGACATTTTGAGGAAACATCTTTGCGACCAAATTGACATGTTCATTTTTTAGGGCTTAATGTGACTCCTGGATGGTGGTATATGTGGTGGGAAGAAAAACTCCAGGATTTGATCGAAAATCGATGGGATCTGGGACTTCTGGCAGCGATTCCTTGAGGTCATATTTTTCATTGGTTTTCCACGGATACTGTTTAGTTCGAACCTGGAATTTGTCGTTTGAACGCAACATGCAAAAACTGTGAACCTCTGGATGTGGGATGGCTTCTGAACAAAACACACTGCAGGTGAATCCAACAACCGACGAAGACAGAGGAACAATCGCATCCATCCAGGACGACGAGTGCCTCGTTGAAGTGTTCGAAACGGGGTTCTGGTTGAAAAAAGGGTTTGTCCAGACAGGGATAGATGGGGATAATCCGTATACCGCAAAGTTGCCATTTCAATGGGAAAATTGGATTGGAATATTGCACCATGTGTTTTTTTCTTAAATTGGAAGCAATATTAGAGCCATTCATTGTATTGCTCGGGGCCCAATCATTGCCTGAGTTGAGAGTTTCCAATTTGGGGTCAAGACACATCAAGCCGCTTAGCCCAGATCCCGATTTGCCAGAGGAAAGGAAGCCACGCTGGAAAATCGAGCAACTATAGAATTCGGAATCTTTAGACTACTTTAGACCAATGGGTATGGTTTAAAGTTTAAACGACCACCACCAACAACTTGCGGTTGTTTCGTACGCCAGAAAACACGAGCTATTTGTGAAACCAGGATGGTAGTTCAATGATGTTTCATCATGTTTCCGCCATATTTTCCAGGTTTTCGACTTGTCCATACTTTTCCAACTTTTTAGGGGTTGTAGTATGTAGTTGTTCAGCTTTTTGTCAGCTTCCCCTTGAGAATGCTGAGGCTTAGTCGAAACGCAGGTGTAGCGCGTTGCTGACACCCAGCCATCGGGCCTTTGTGCCATTAGTGACACGAGTCAGCTGTGACTTCAAAAAACGCCATTCAAAATACCAAACTGTTGGACTATTGGTTGATGACTGGTTCAATGGATTGTTTTTTTTGAAAATTGACGGTTGAAAGCTCCATAAATTGTAGATTTTCCCTGAAACCAATCCAATGATTGGTTGGTTCATGTTGCTTCATGTTGGTTCAAACAATGCCTGATTTTATGTGTTTTATGATGTTTTATGGGGATTGTTGTAAGTCTTGCCAGGAACAGAATTGAACTTTCAACCAACCTGTCTTTTTGGGGATGGGAAAACAGGGATCTCAACACATTTGACGGTGGCTTTGCATGTGCTTTTTAAGCCATAAATATGTGTGTGTGTGTTCACGTGACATGTAGAGTGTTGTAAAGGTTTCAAAAACTACACTGAGCAAAACCACACTGGTTTATAGTCTGTTCTTCTGGGGTTCGCTGCATGCACTTCAATCACGAGTAACCTTCAAAGATGAAGAGAATCAATGGAAATCTCATTCAGATAGCATGAACAACAGACTGCACGCAAATAGTCCATTCATCTCTTGCATTACAATGTAAGGGTTTGTGTCTCGATGATTGCAGTGAACTGCCAATACGTGAAGTGCCTTGTTGGAACATCCTGAAAGGAGCTGACTTGTGTTTTCTCACATCTTACAATACCGATCTTTAGTTTTTGACGACCTCACAGTCTGGGACATCAGCAGAATCTTCCCTGATTCTTTCACCATGCTTTTGGTCGTGAAAAAATCATCCATGGTGTTTCCCAGTTGATGGTCCCAGTCCGCCCGCGGATACATTTAAAATCGACATGCCGAGCCAGCAACTGGTGAATTTTGCCAGGGCTCATGGCCGGCTGGCCGGCTGGCGTCGATGTACCGGGCTCCACGCCGCGGTTTACGCATATGGCGATGCAAAGGAACGGGACCCAGCAATTCTGCGAAACGGGAAGGTCTGACACCCACGGATCACAGGCTTTTCAATAGTTGCCATGAAAATTGGCACATTGATGGGTAGGTGGGTTTGCTAAGTGACCTACTTCTCTTATCTTCTCTTGTTCAAAGTCCAGCAGGCAACTTGTGGAATATAGAGATTGATATGTTGAAGATTTAGCATAGGCGAACAGCACTGTCCTGAGTCCTTGAACGGTTCTCCAGCCTTTGTGGACTCAGGAGATGGACGTCTATTCAGTTAAAAACCAGGGCCTTTCGGCCTTTCGCTACTAAAACATACGTACAAAAGCCTGGGGGAGAATCATTTCCACTACTCGTCTCCAAATCCACGTATGCTCGGTGAAGGTCTTTTGAGTCACGGCCAAGAGTTGTGGCCTGCCGGAAATTTCAACACATGTGTCGACCAAATTTAGCCATTGCAATGGCGCACTGCTGGAAGAATGTTCCTTTGGATCCGCACTAATCCTTTGCCGAGCCTTCAAAGATGGAAGGCTCAGTGTGTCATGGTGCGCCAGGCGCCGATTTCATATGGGATGACCTATGGTGATTTGATGGTACTACGCCAGCCAATCTCCCTGGTAAAGATCTGACGTCTCGGGTAACATCTGGTACCCCCTGCAGTTGTCCTTGGCCCCTTCTGGCCCTGTAGGCCTGGTGACGGGCTGCACGGACCACCCAAAGACTTTCAACCCGCGGACCGGACCGGACGCGACTTTTGTCGCGTCGGGATGGCCGCGCCACAAGCGATTGAGGAAAAGGGGGGTGGTTCGTCGGGCGGTTCATGGCCAATTGTGGAGCTACTAGGCACCACAGGATTTTTTGAAAGGAATGCATCTCGGTGGAGTTAGATCTCCACATGATCATGATCATGTCATATCATGTCCACTTGCTATCCTGGGAGCCAAACTTGCTCAAAGGAATTAGTTCATATCGCTGATATCGCTGCCTAGTTAGCCCTTTCATGAGAGCTGCTTCGTTGATTCAAGGAAACAAAGCATTGCTGGCCCAGAAGCAAAATTGGAAGGCAGCTGCCTTCCTTCTCTCTTCATTTCCAGAAGTTCAATTGCAGGCAGGGCGTCTCTGGTTTGGAAGGGTCTCGTTTTGAGCCTCCCATTAGTCAGTTTCCCCAAGAACTCCATAGTGGTTACGCTTAACCCATCTTTACCCTAGCTAATCATTAGCTAGTCTATAGTAGTTATAGTCAATTATAGAATGTTATAGACCTTAAGTTAGCTATGCGCCAGCACCCTGAGGCCGATGAATTCAGCTATGGTTCCACCATCAGAGCCTGCGGCAGTGCCTGGCTTCAGTCGCTCCTCCTTTGCAACCAGATGCTTGGCCGTGCTTGGCCGTGGCCAGGAACATGTTCCCATTGTTTTTTTTTCAAATGATTTCTAGTGGAAAATATTGGAAACATGATCAAACCTCAGCTGTTTAGAACTTATTTATATTATGTTGGAGTCCCCTCTGTCTGGTTTGACAACATTTGACAACCTTTCTGTCCAGATTCTCCAGGATGAGGCTTCGGTTGCTCCGCAGAAACCTTGTGATCTTCAGCTCATGCATTTCCGGTGCAAAGGAAGCAGCTCAATGGCCAGTCTCCTTGGAATACTTCGGCCAGATGTGCTCAGCCCTTGTGCAATGCGACACCGTTTCCTTCAACGCTGCGTTGAGTGCGTTGCCGCAGTGGCTCATGGCAATTCACCTGATGGGGATTTCTTGGGAATTGAGACACTTTACAGCAGCTGATTCGATGATTTTGCTGTGAAAGTTGGTTTTTCGAACAAAACTATTATACAAAATTGTGCCAAAAGAAGTGAGTGCGTGTTTTTTTCAGCAGCTGATCGAATAACCCCTTTCAACTTTCCACCTTTTCGATGGGTGCCTCTGAATGATACGCTCCCAAGGCCCTAGGAGATACCGCGACCTTTTGCATAAAAGGTTGATTTAATTAGTAAAGACATGTAGAATGCATGTAGAATGCATGTAGATGTAACCCACTGGTCACGTTTTGGCAAAGAAATAGAACCAGAGCAAGTAAATGGAAGTTATGTGATAAACCCTCAAGCTATTCCATTCTGAGATATTCTGAGCTTGATCAGTCTCTTAGACCGGAGAATCCCTAAATTCCTTTCGCAGCTTCTCCATTTCATAGGAATCTCAGGATTGGACGCCTTCAGCTACAGCAGTCTCCTCAGCCTTCGCACAGCATGGCTGTTGCCCCTTGAATGGCTGCAGAAGATGCGGCGTTTGTCGCTGGTCCCAGATGTCTTTTGCGTTTCGTCACCACTGACATCGTTGAGGAAAGAATCTAGGCCAGTGGTTTCATATGGTTTCATGGGTTCCGTGAGGAAATGATGGGAATATGCTGGGGATATGCTTGTTTTTTTTTGAAAAATCTCATAATTTATGGATTAATTTGGGATATTAACCAATTGAATCATGAGATGTGGGTCTGCGGCTATGTAAGGTTTGTCCAACAATTTGGGATACCCCAAAATGTGGAACATGATGTGAATGGGTAAAATGATGATCAACTGAATGTTTGGATACCAAAGAGTCAGTGAATAGTCAGACAAGCCATCTTTTTGGCGCATTTTCTCTATGGCTTGATCTCGATGATCTCAACTGAGATGTTTCATGGGATGGGTTGACAGCACCAGGAATCTGACTGGCAACTTGCATCACAAGTCCTTGACTCCATGACCCTGCAGAAGATTCAGGGAAACTCAGTGATGTACGCTGCAAGCGACTGGCAGATGTCATTGGCCCAAGGACTGCGGCTGCGCGCGGGGCGAAATCTGGCCCCCATGATTCTTAGCTTCAAGAGTGGATGGAGAAGATGTGTGGCTGGATGGGTTGAAGCCACGCTTTGACTTTTAACTTGTTTGGTTTGTATAGATGGTTTTACACCATTTGTCCCCTTACAGATCCTCAAAGATCAAACTTTCCCTAGGGAATCAAGACACCGACAAGGTTGACTTCTTCTGGGCCTCATTTCCCTCCATTCTTCCCGATGTCTTCAGCAGCAGCGCCCTGATGAATCAGCTGCAGAGATGGCAGCAGTGGGATGTGGCACTGGCGCATCTGGAGATGTTTCAGGGCAATGACCAACAGCTGTACCATGCAGGGATCGCGGCATTGAAGGAGAGTCCCATGGTGGGTTGGGTTCCAATTTTGAAGGATTGGTTGGAAAAGGGGGTGTCATTCGTGAGATTTGAATAGATTTGAAGCATTTGAGAGGTTGAATGGAGATGAGCATATTTGATCCATGTAGTATATTATCAATGGTTTTCCATTGTTCTCCATTATTATCCATTACTATATATAATATAAATATATATATATATACATGTATATGTATATTATTCAGTGATTATTCTACATGATTATCCATGATTTCCATGAATATCCATTAAGTTATATCAAAGATGATCTATTATTCTCCACTTTAATAGACAATCATCATGGATATTAAATTTGATTATATAGGAGAACAATAAAAGATCATTATGGACAATATATGTATATATATATATACTAACCTTCTACAAAACCATCATATATATACTGGCTGGTGGTTTGGAACATTGTTTATTTTTCCATCATATATTGGGAGTAATAATTCCATTTGACTAATATTTTTCAAGATGGTTAAAACCACCAACCAGTATATATATATATGTAATATATATATATATATATGTATGAACATAACTATGGAAAATCACCATTTTTAATGGGAAAACTCACTATTTCAATGGCCATTTTTTCAAGAGCTATGTAACAGTGTACCAGGGGGTATATGGTGAAATCAGCCAGGAGGCATCGCATTGGTCGGCTGCGCTGTCCCTCTTCGCCACGCTGCCGCGGCGCCGCGCGGCCCTCGACAGCTTCGGCTATGCGGCGGTGGCACCGCGGAAGTGGAGGGAGAGCAGCTGGCTCATGCAGGTGACACCGGCTGGTGAGATGCAGAGAGCTACAAGCCATACATTACCACTGTTACATCCCTAGTTCTAAGTGCCTGAAGTAGGATTGATATTATGGATTTATATGGACTTATCTGGATTTATCCGTTTATAGCTGAGGTTAGTAGCCTGCTTAATACCTTCCGGTGTTATCAAACATGGCATGCTGGAAAATCCACCATTTAGTTGGATGATTTCCCAGCTACAAACCACCATTGATAGGGGGTTTCCCAGCCAGCCATGTTTGATTACTGAAGGGAAGGGTATGCCGGATGTTTTGCTACTGTTTTTATATGTGTTTACCCTGGTGAATGTTGATGAATGTTCATGACACCATTTTACGAAGCTATGTTATGGGATATAGTGGAATATAGTGGGATATCTAGCGGGTGGTGAATGAAGGGGTGATCGCAGCTATGACTGTATCCTTTTTTCCGAACAAGAAATGGGGAGCCAAGGAGCTACGAATTGCGTCTCCCAATCACGTCATAGGAAAAACATGGAAAATGGAGGCGTAGTGGCCTTATTGTTAAATCCGTCCACTTATGAGAGATTGCTCCAGGCAGAGACAGAGATTGCCACTTCTCTTGGAATAGAACATTGTTCCACTGGAAAGCTCGGAGGAAAGCCAAAAATCCCCCATGCCATGTTTGTCTAGAGATTTCAAGATCGGAATTTAGGATCCACACAACTTAGACACCTTGGCAGACTGGCAAAAACTCTGGTAAACTAACATTTTGCTTGGGAAAATCACCATTTTTATTGGGTAAATCAACGAACTTTCTATGGCCATTTTCCATAGCTATGTAACAGTTTGCCAGAGGGTAATCCCTCCGGATCTTTTGTCCCATGCCAGGACATGCAGCAGAAGTCTCTCGAGCGCAGTCGCTCGGAAGCCAGGTTTTTTCTATGAGGAAACTGCTGTGGAGCAGTGGTTGACCAGTATTTTTTCCAAAGCGGCCATAGATATCCATAAATAGCAAATATGAAGTGCTGTGTTTTTGGGCTTGAGACTGGAACTTCTTTTCCGTTCCTGACATATTCTGGGAGGACCTTACTGCCATGAAGGTCATAAACTGGATCAAAGATTGTCTCCGAAGATGTCTATTGAATCATCCAACTGATTTCTCAGTATCTTCAGTTCTCCCCATTTTTTGGATATTTTTTGGCAGGTTGAATGGCCATGTTCCTAAAGGTAGCGTTTTCTGCAGCTGAATGTCTCCCCATTATGGCTTGAACATGTTTCCACAATGGCATAGGGCTGTGTCCAAGAATGCTGTACCCTAAAGTCCATTGTGCTAATGGTATCAATTTTGGGTATACCTTGAGGAGGGCTATTTATTTTTGTTGTTGTTGTTTTTTTTTCGCGGCAGGTCTTGGATTTTTTTGGGGGTTCCTGGTTCTATGCTTTCCTGCTTCTCTGCTTTCCCCGCTTCTCTGTTTTTCTGCTTTTGTGCTTCTGTGCCTTTCTATTTTACTATTCTACATTTTCTTTTCTTCAGTCATGTGTTTTTGCTGCTCTACTTCCTGCTCCTCTGCTTCTCTGCTCCCTATCTTTACTGCCTCTTTTTTTTTCTGTTATTTCGTTTTATTCTCTCCTTTTTGTATCCTAAATGAAACCCTAAAGACCCTAGGTGAAGCCCAAAGAAACTCTAAAGAAATCCTGATAAGAACCCTGCATGAAACCCTAAATGAACCCGAAAGCAACCATAGATTAGACCTAAAGAAACCGTAAATGAAACCCTAAAGAAACCCTAAATGAAACCCTACATGAAACCCTACAGAAACCCTAATGAAACCCTAAATGAAACCCTTAATGAAACCGTAGAGAAACCCTACATGAAACCCTAAAGAAACCCTAAATGAAACCGTAAATTCAAACCCTGAAGAAACCCTAAATGAAACCCTAAAGAAGCCCTAAAGAAACCCTCAATAAAACCCTAAATGAAACCCCAAAGAAGCCCTAAATGAAACCCTTAATGAAACCCTAAAGAAACCTACATGAACGATTGAAAATCCTGATAAGAAATCCTGACAAGAAACCCTACACGAAACCCTAAAGAAACCCTAAATGAAACCCTAAATGAAACCGTAAAGAAACCCTAAATGAAACCCTACACACAACCCTAACTGAAACCCTAAAGAAATCCTAAATGAAACCCTAAAACCCTAAATGAAACCCTAAAGAAACCCTAAATGAAACCCTAAATCAAACCCTAAATGAAAGCCTAAAGAAGCTCTCAAGAAACTCACGTGAACGGTTGAAGTACCAAAATGTAGCAAATGAGAGGCTGAAGTGCCAAAACCTGGCAAATACCATGCAAAATGGAAGGCAAACATGGCCAAATGTAGCAAATAGCATGCAAAATGCGAAGTGACCATGCCAAAATGTAGCAAATACTATGCAAAATGACAGATTCTAGTTCCAAACTGTTGCAAATCCAAGGCAAATGGTACCAGGAAAGAAAGCCAAACAAAAATCCAAAACCTGAGCCCAAAAAAGATCCAAAAACTATTCTGAACCCATACCTTGACCCTCAACGGCCTGCCATCCGCCAATTTCAAGGCATGGTTTTCGTGGGCTCCATGTCTCACTGGAGCGCGACATTGCAGCTGTTGCAGTGCATGCTGCGGGCACTTCAAGGTAGGGCGGTGAATAGCTGTGGCAACGGTGGGATTAGTTGATATAGTCCTGTGTCTGCTGACTCGGTGATTGTTAATGCTTTCATATGCTTTCCAATATGGGAAATCAACATGTTTCGGGAATCTATGAGGAATATCTATCCTTTTGGGGAGGCCCCTCTAGCAGATCCAACATGATCCAACTAATTAATCGCCATTAAATGCCATTGAAACATGAAGATCAGCAGAAACCACTTAGATGGGCCAAGGGATTTGGTTATTTGATGTTATTTGGTTGGTGGTTTCAAAGGGTTTTTCTGAATTTTCAACCCTTGAAATTGGGGGTTGATTCCAATTCGGGCACCGCCACCTTGGTGGGGCTGACTCTGCCAGATGTGGATGCAGCCTGCTTCAATGCAGCAGCTCGGCCAACGGCACATTTTTTCGACATGCTCCAGGCTATGGATGCTTAGTGGATTATATTGGATTATCAACGTTTATCATCATTTTCCATTCTGTTCAATCATGTTCCATCATTTTACATCATTATCCATCATTTTCCATCATTTTTCCATCATTTTCCCATCATTTTCCATCATTTTTCCATCATTTTACATCATTATCCATCATTTTCCCCATGTTCAAATGTTTTTTGTTTGAAAGTTGGGTATATCAGATAGGCCATGTGGGACTTCACTGGACTTGACTCATTGGAAAAAGGCTGCTCGGCTCAAGAAACAGCATGGAACACCAACCATGTCTAGGTATAGTGAGGATATAGTGGGGATATAAAGCTATCCACAATGGGTTCAATGGTCAAGACATAGTGGGATATAGCTGGATATAATTAGTTGGATATGACAGGATATGACAGGATACAATGATGAAAACAGCATTAGACACCAAGCAAACATGATAGAAGCTCGGTTCCACAACAGTTTGCAAAAAGACATTCGTTGGGTTAGGCAGATGTCACTTTCTATGCAGGGCTATGCAGGTGGATCATTGGACAGTGCATGACTGGGGAAGGAGTGATCTTGAAGGTCAGTCCTGCGATGCTGGGCCGGGAGGTTCGACAAATGGCTTCGAAGAAATTTTCTTCGAAGAGAGGCGCAAAGCTCATTCTGCATCATGGCACTGCAGCCTCACTAGGGCTTAACCAAACCTTGCAAGAGCAAGGCATTGTGAGTGATGCCACAATCTTATCCTGCACTTACATGCCAGCAAACCTCTACGATGATGCATGGTGTTTCATTCAAGAACTGGCAACCCCTGAGGAAGAATTTGCATTGGAAGGACTAACACATCTAACCTTGAAGATGCGGTTCAGTCTTTGCACCATCTCCCCAAAAGCCTTGAAAGCTTGACTGTTGATTTTAGCTCCAATGAGGATAATGAGGGCTTGAATGAGATGCACATGACAATTGGACTTCAGACGTTGACGTTTGGCGATCGCTTCAACCAGAGCTTGGAGCGATTGACCATGCCGTCCAGTCTTCAATCGCTGAGTTTTGGCAAAAACTTTTGGCAGACATTGGATGGAGCGACTCTGCCACCCAATCTTCAAACGCTCTTTTTTCGTTGGAGCTTCTACCAAAGCTTCAAAGCTTAGAGCGAGTGACCCTGCCGTCCAGTCTTCAAACCTTGACTCTTGGCAGCAACTTTACCAGAACTTGGAGCGCGTGACCTGCCACCTAGTCTTCAAACGTTGACTTTTGGGTCTGACTTCAACCACAGCTTGGAGCGAGTGACCCTGCTGTCCAGTCTTCAGACGTTGATTTTTGGGCATGACCTCAACCAGAGCGTGGAGCAAGTGACCCTGCCACCCAGTCTTCAGACCTTGACTTTTGGATACTTTTGGTAGTAACTTTAATCACAGCTTGAAGGGTGTGCTTAATCCAGACACACTCGAAGATCTCTTTTTGGGTTGGAGCTTTCAGCAGGATTTGGACGGAGCTAATGTGCCAAGCACCCTGCAGACGCTAGGCTTCCGAGAACGTGCCAAGGGCGCATTTGGCTACGCCAAGATCTGCGAAAAAGTGCGGACAGTGATTACTGCTGTTACCCTCAGGTAATCAGACATGGCAACGGAATCTATGATCTATCTATGATCTATGATCATCTACGGATGATTCCTCCGCTGAAAGGCCCTTTGATCGCCGGTTTCCCACCAAAACCCGGGTTTTGGCCTTGGATCCGACCAAAATCTTGGGAAGATGAGATCACGACTGCGTTTTCTTGGTTTCTCCAAACATCCAAAACCTGAGTCAGGAAGGATGTCCTATGACTTTCCATGACTTTCCCACACCATTTCACACCTAACCATGATAGGATACCCTTCCTGGCCCGTCAAGTTATGGGCGCGACAACGACCCCACCCCATGGATGTCCGCAAACCATATCTGGAAGATAAGATATAGTGAAAGATATCATCTAAAATACTAAAATACGCTGTAAATACATAGTAATGGTGTACGTGTGTATATACTGTATATATATACACAGTATAATACATATTATATATCATTATATCATATTATATCATATTAATATGATGATATACTATGATATCATCAAGCCCATTCTTTTTGAAGCTGAAAAATTCATGCGTTTCCAGGGAAAACCTCAGTGCTGCCCCCAGGTCATCGCTTCCTGTGGCTGGCAGATGGGTGTGGAGATCCTGCAGCAGATGAGGACAGCGGCGCTCCAAGCAGATGCCCAGGGCTATGGCGCGGTGATGCGCACGGCCGGGGCACCAAATCGGAGATCGGTAGCTGAAGTTATTTCCATCCTTTTCGGGGCATGGCAATTTAATAGACCTTAATTAAACTTCAGAATGGGAAAAGCCGAAATTGTTTGGTTTCCACTCCCATCTTTTTTGATGCACGGTTTTCTGAAACTTCCAAAATTCTTGGTGTAATTTCCCAAGCATCAGCAGCCCAGGCAGCCTCAAGGGACTGGCAGCTGGCCTTGACCTTGCTGCAGTCCATGCGTCACGACGGCCTCGACGTGCCGAGCATCGCCATCAACGTGGCGCTGGCGGTTATCCCGGCCAGTGAGGTGGGGATGGACCCTGGAGCAGACTGGAGCTGGATGTATCAATGGTTAGTAATGATTAATGATGATTAATGATGGTTAATTAATGATGGCTAATAGTGCTTAATGATGATGATTAATGATGGTTAATGATGCTTAATGATGGTTATTAATGATGGTTAATGATGGCTAATAGTGCTTAATGATGGTTATTAATGATGGTGAATGATGGCTAATAGTGCTTAATGATGGTTATTAATGATGGTTAATGATGGCTAATAGTGCTTAAAGGCTTAATGATGGTTATTAATGATGGTTAATGATGGCTAATAGTGCTTAAAGGCTTAATGATGGTTATTAATGGCTAATAGTGCTTAAAGGCTTAATGATGGTTATTAATGATGGTTAATGATGGCTAATAGTGCTTAATGATGGTTATTAATGATGGTTAATGATGGCTAATAGTGCTTAATGATGGTTATTAATGATGGTTAATGATGGCTAATAGTGCTTGATGATGGTTATTAATGATGGTGAATGACGGCTAATAGTGCTTAATGATGGTTATTAATGATGGTTAATGATGGCTAATAGTGCTTAATGATGGTTACGGTTATTATATAATGATGGTTAATGATGGTGAATAATTGTTAATGATGGTTAATGAGGAAAAAAAAAGTTGGTAATGACAATTAATGGTGTTCAATGGTGATTGATGGATATTACTGGGAGAACGGGGATTGAACCAGCAAAAAAAATGGATTTGACCAACTATCATGGATATATTTACCGGAGTCATGGCATAAAACAACACAAACCCCTTTTTGGGTATGGTTTTTAGAACCAATCGAAATAACCCCCCCACTTGGGGTATTTGATATTTGTATGCTCAATGAAAAAGGGTGAAAACTGCATCAGTTGCTTCATCTGATCTGGATACAGTTTACTTGTCATATCTTGTCATGGTTGCCTTGTTTAATGTCTCATAATGTCCCTGATATTGATTCCTCCAAATTTCAAGGCCTTCGTGTTTCACCATGCAGCAATCGTCGGATGTTGGTCTTGGATGCCGAGGTGTGGCCGAGGACCCTGGAGATGTTGGCCCGCCGCGTGCGTGACGGTGGAGCGGCCGCGGTGAGCGATGTGAGTTTCAGCACTGCCATCGGAGCCTGTGAGAATGGCATGCAGCAGCACCTGGCATTGACACTGCTGTGGGATGCCGAGGCTGGAGATGGGAATGGCAGGAATGGCAGGGCAGGGATGGAGACAAGGCTATGATGGGTTCATGGGGGTAATTAAGCTACAGCTATGCCAGCTGTGCCAGCTAGTTTGGTTTTCAGAATGGAGCCTCAAAGGCACTATGTCTTAGCATTGTTTGATAATATGCTGTGAAAACAGACCTCGTCCGTTTGAAATGCTATTGCTTTGCAGACTGGAAGGTTGAAGGGTTGCTCTCAGAAAATCTTCCCACTACCAATTTCTGTTGAGAATATTCTATCCCAGTCCAGGAACGGTCCTTCCTCAGTGGTCACGAGTCACTACATAGTCTTTATAAACTTCACTCATCCCAACAGATATCAACGTATAAAGCTTCCCCTCCATCAAACATGGCAACAGAAAGTACCCATGTCTAGTTCGATGATTTTCAAATATCTTCACATATTTTCATGCTTTAAGTTCCCTGATGCACCATTCATTTCCTTCAGGGACATCGGGGACAGCGCCGATGCCGTAGGAGCTGGGGATCCGACTTCCCATCCTGTCCCTCTTGGTGGCCTTCACTCGCGCCAACGTCCAGGACCCGGAGGTGATCTATTCGGCTTTGAAGGAGGTGCCATGATGGGAACCACTGGAACCACAGCTTTGGCACTGGCCCAAAGGGTTGTACCACCTGGAACTTTAGGTGGTTCTTGTTTGCATCATGTTTACGTGGTTTTGAAGCAGTTCACATTACAAGTTATTGACACACTTGTTATCACTTGTTGTTGAATATGTTGGTGGATGTCCCAGGTGTTCTTGCTTTGCATCCGCGTGATCCTTGATTTCTACATATTTCTACCAAAAAAATTACGAGGAAGCCGTTCCAGCGACTATCCATGACCCTTTGAGGCAGCCATTGCCATCAGAGATGCACCCAACGCCTTGGAAGTGGCACAATTTTGGCGATACTCTGCACTGCTGGGTGGGGTTCCCAGCCATCAATTCATCCAACGGCCTCCTGGAAGCAATGGGATGGCGGAGTGCGAATGCTAGAGAAGATGGCGTTGATGCTGGACAAGCCAAAGAAAGATGTGAAATGATGAAGCATAGATTTAGCAAAGCATCATTTGTTCGTTGTCCAGCACTGTTGACAAGCCCATTTCTCAACCCAAATGTCGCCCATTTCTCAACCCAACAGCCAGAAGAATAGTATAATAGTAGCCAAATGTAGCCAAGCAGTGGGAAATCTGCGGCAGATGTGATGAACATCCCTTAAAATCTTCGAAAAATAAAAACAAGTTTTCTCGTCTCGAAAAACCTGCAGGTTGACAGCGGAAACAAAGAGAAAGTTGAAGGAGTTCACCTTGGAACAGTTGGTCCTTGTGGCTTGGTCATCTTGGTCTGGACGGATGGGCCGAAAGAGTTCTGGCTGCTTTGAGGGAGTCATTCTCCTATTGGCGCTTTGTAATTCTTGAATGGTGCATTGAATTTGTATATTAAATGTATATAGATATTTGGAATCACTGATAGATTGTTCAATTGTTCATTCAGTTTCTATCTATAGTTTTTATGAACAGTGTTTAGCCATATATGTCCAACTAAATGGTTCACTGATATTTGGAATCTATCATTCAATTTCTACAAGGTGGTGCCCCATAGTTAGCTAAGTTGGTTTATAACTCCCATAACTATGGTTTATGGCAGATATAACTATAGTTAATGGGGTTTATAAACCAACTTATAACTGGGGAGCCTCACATTGTATAGGTAGTTGGTACCCGGCGCATAGACGGCCGTGGACCGAAATACATATTTTAGCAGAAGGGGGTTGGGTGGGGTGGGGGGGTGATATTAACGTTCATGTACCTTGCCTACATACGTGGATGCTACGCTGCTGCTACGTCACTGGGCATGGGTGGGGTGGGGGGGGATATTAACGTTCATGTACCTTGCCTACATAGGTGGATGCTACGCTGCTGCTACGTCACTGGGCATGGGTGGGGGGGGGGGGATATTAACGTTCATGTACCTTGCCTACATACGTGGATGCTACGCTGCTGCTACGTCACTGGGCATGGGTGGGGTGGGGGGGGATATTAACGTTCATGTACCTTGCCTACATACGTGGATGCTACGCTGCTGCTACGTCACTGGGCATGGGTGGGGTGGGGGGGGATATTAACGTTCATGTACCTTGCCTACATACGTGGATGCTACGCTGCTGCTACGTCACTGGGCATGGGTGGGGTGGGGGGGGATATTAACGTTCATGTACCTTGCCTACATACGTGGATGCTACGCTGCTGCTACGTCACTGGGCATGGGTGGGGTGGGGGGGATATTAACGTTCATGTACCTTGCCTACATACGTGGATGGGCATGGGTGGGGTGGGGGGGATATTAACGTTCATGTACCTTGCCTACATGCGTGGATGCTACGCTGTTGCTACGTCACTGGGCATGGGTGGGGTGGGGGGGATATAAACGTTCATGTACCTTGCCTACATACGTGGATGCTACGCTGCTGCGAATTTTTGGAACACTTGGAAGACCTCCTGCCGCAGGATTGATTCTGTCAGATGAGGAAAAAAAGAAGCAAATCCTGGCATACACAAAGTAGTTACGTCATTTCAAAAAAGCATTAAAATTATCGTTTCGTTCAGGCGAAAACGCCACTTTGCTAACTTTCCAATGGAATTCAGCCACAAAAAGTGTATACACCTGAAACTTGAGAAATCCCTTACAAACGCACAGAAAATCAATGCTGGATGATACTCCATCTTCATTTTGAGCCACGGCCGTCTATGCGCCGGGTTCCTAGTTGGAATCACTGATATCTTGTGGATGTGTTGAAGCCACAAACCAGGCCTGAACTGGTCGATGAGTCATTCATAATCCCAGGTTGCCTGGGGCGCTGCGGTTACACCGCACGGGGCAGCCACCATGGAATCTTAGCATGCAACTGTGCAACTGGAGAAGCCTCTGTTGGCCAGCCGATGTCAACACATGACAGTATCACATATAATTCATAATTAATATATATATATATATATAATTATATATAATCATATATATATATAACTTAACCATGTGTACTTACATGTTCTATATACTTATACATGTTTCGCATATTTTCACATGGGAATGTCTCAAAAGGCACGGGGGTCGCATTTGCCCCTACCTCAGTTGGGGGTAGGGGCGAATGTGACCCCTGCTTTTGTGTGGCAGGCGCAATAGTTTGAGAGCCTCGAAATGATCTTATCACCTCAGAGAGTCATTTTCACGTGTTATGTTCGAAAATCGCTTTCAAGCAACGCCAAGACGTTGGAATTTTCGTTGTAACATCCATTTCAATCAACTTGCCACACGCTCTGGAAGTCAGTTCCAAGACGCTCTGGATGCTACGTTCCAACATCCATTTCAATCAACTTCCTGGACGCTCTGGATGCTACGTTGTAACATCCATTTCATTATAACATCCTGTGTCCCCAGGTCTTACCCTAAAAGATTAAGTGTCATATTCAATAGTGAGGGAAGTGGCTCAAGCTATGTCCCCAAGTCCCCCCTAAATGTTCCCCAGTCCCCCCTAAGTCCCGCGTCGCCAGGTTTTACCCTAAAAGGTTGAGTGACATATTCAATAGTGAAGGAAGTGACTTAAGGTATGCCACAAGTCCCCCCAAAATGTTCCCCAGTCCCCCCCACAAGTCCCTTGTCCCCAGATCTTGCACCAAATGGTTGAATGACACAGTCAATGTGAAGGATAGTGGGGTAGGCGCGAATGTGACCCCTTGTGGGGTAGGGGCGAATGTGACCCCTGGGGTAGGGGGGAATGTGACCCCCGTCCCGTCTCAAAATAGAGGTGCCCCAAAGTTTTGACTTGTTCAATTAAAAAAGGCTGGGGCATCCACGAGCACCCTTCTTCTGAGACATTCCCAAATGAATTTAGGTATAAATAATCAGTGTGTGCATGTGTGTGTGTGCGTGTATGTATATATACATATGTATATATATATATGTGTGTGTTTACATAACTATTGTTTATAAATATGTTGTGTATATATATATATATGTATATTGTGTGTGTAAATAGATATATGTATATATATATATATGTTGTATATGTAATATATATATATATATATATACAATATATATATATAGTATATGTAATATATATATATTCAATATATATATATAGTATATTATATATATATGCTTATATACAATGACCAAGTACAGTGACCATCTCGGTACAGACTTCGCAAGGTGAGTGCCTCATCACCCTTTTCCTTTGAATTCAACATCCAGAGACATCGGTCGCGGCGTAAAGCATCAATGGACCGTATGGGGAAAAAATGCTTATATATATATATAGTATGTATATATACATATATATGTGTATATTATTTATTTATTGTATTTATATGTATTGTATATAGACATATGTTGTATATATATATATGTACATATTTACATTTATATATATACATATATATTGTATATATATATAAACATATATATTGTGTGTATATATATATATTGAAATATAGCGTATGTATTTTTACATATTTACATATATATGAGTAACGGACAAAATTATTTTAGCGAAAGACTCAAGTAATAGAGAGTGGACTTGGGATGTGCAAATTTGTACGAACACCTACACAACCTATAGGGGACCACCCACTTTGGCCATGTCCATTGCGGGTAGTAAGTAGTTTTGTCCGCCACTCATTTGAGGCAGAAACGGATTCACCAATATCAGTCCTATAACATCCAGATCCGTTTTAAGCCTCGCTCTACTGCTTTTGGCATGTCCGGCCTAGGACTTGGTCCAAAAAGAGTTACAGAGACGGCTTCCAGGACAGGACTCAGAGAATTGGAGGCAGAACGTGCTCGGCTGCTAGGCAGAGCTGGAGAAGCTGGCTGGTGGATGTTGGTGGAGAGATGTGGATAGATGTGGATAGATGTGGATAGTATATGACAACATATGACAATATATGACAATATATGACATGTATATATATATACATATATACTACATATACATATAGCTATCTATATATATATATATACATACTGTATGTGTAAAATGTGGAATCAGCAGATTGTACACACCCAAGGAACCAGCGGAAAGGAAAACTTGAAACCCCTCTTGGAAGGCCGAAAATTGTTGCGGAGATAATAGGAAATGGGAACAGATCAACACACATGAGGTTTTGAATCTTGAGAATATGAAAAGGGGAATATGAACCGACACACGATCAGGAGATTTTGGGGAGAGATCTTGTGCTCTCAAACATTGGAAACCCTAGAATGGGAGAGACCAGCCAATCCGATCCAAGATGCTATCAATCAACATGATTTTTCCAAACGTTGTCTCAATATACTGTGTTTTTCCCCGTGATTGCCACCACCTCCAACCCATTTCCCACACAAACTGATTTGGCACACCATTCAAAATGATGGAAAGTCAAGAAAGTCCACCCATACAACAGAGGTTTCCTGTCAGATTTTTCCCAAAACCCCAGCTGGTTGGTGGTTGGGAACATGAATTTTATGATTTTCCATTCAGTTGGGAATGGAATCATCATCCCAACTGACGTTCGAACTCATATTTTTCAGAGGGGTAGGCGTACCAACCACCAAGCAGCCAGCATTTGAGGCATTTTACACGCCAGCAGCTTCGGAGGCTGCACCTCGCAGCGCTGCGTTTTGCAGGTGGCACGGAGCCTACAGCGCCTGGGGCGGCGCCTGGACGGCGGCCAGCTGGGGGCTGTGGGAGGAGCCGGAGCCATGGTGGAGATGGATCTGGTGGATCGAATGGTGCTGCTGAAGCCGGTGGATTGGGAAGTTTCAGATGAAAATATGGAGCAACTTGGCACGGAAACTACTTGGAATTGAGTGGATGGCCAAGTTTTCATCATTGAATATTAAAAAGGTGTGGATTTCGGAGGAGTTCCCAGTTGAGCCCCCCACCAGGATCCGTTGTCACTTTGCCAAGGCTGCAAGTGGTTGATTTCCTCCGCGACTCAGGGTCTTCGATGCCCATCCTCGAGGATAAGGAGTTCGGCCAAGGCTCTATGATTAAATCCCATGCGCAATCATCATTTACCCCTGTAGTAAAATCATGTAAAATCAGCAATTTTTGGGTGGTAAATCTCCAATTTTCAGACAACTGACAAATCCATTTGGAATTGTGACAGAAATCGACAAGTTCCACAAAGTCCAATTTCCAACGTGAACACAAGACACATGGAGTAAAAAAAGTAGCAGCAGAAACTGAAGTGTGCTACGTACTTAAGAGCGGGCACCTCAGTCACCTGAGTCGAATCTTGACCAGCTGACAGTTGACCAGCAATTTGGACCTAAATCATCCTAAATTAGCACATCGAGTCAAAACACTTGGACGATCGACGCTGCGAGGTCTCTTGCATCGACTGGATGTGCCAAGTTCAGGACTGCTGCTGATGGCTATTGACTTAGCAGAAGGGCCGTTCATGCGAAATTCATTGGCGTTCTCAGATTCGGAGTACTAGTATGGTATATTCTTTGCGATCTTCTGTCTTGCTTGACCAAAAATGTAATAAATCAACACGAATAATCCGACAACGACAATGACAGATATTATTCGATGTGTTTTCACGACCCAAATGCAACTATCTATTCTAAGTTCTGCTTGCCGCTTCCCATCTCCCATCTTGTCCCATGTCCAAGGCCAAGACCTACGAAGCGCATTGCGACTTGTCCGTGCAGCTGGCTGCGGGTCATCTGGAACGAGACTATTCCGTGCTGGCGCACGGCTGGGCGGTTGACCGCAAGATCTCTGCCCAACTCTATTGGAGGCGCCCTCATCTCCATGAGAGTTGAAGATCTATACAGAATAGCTCCACAATGCTCCACATATATCCCACACAGAATAATCATGTGGATTATACATGCATATATAATATAGACATATATAGACATGATACATGTTTGTTTTCTGCGGATTTTTGCTACTGTATAGTAATTGAACCTTAGTGTTGTACCCAATTAGTATAGCTATATAAAGCATATTCTATATGGATTCCTATGGTATCTGACAAATCCCTGGCCCAGGCGCGCCCCGGTGACAAAGGCTGGTGGTCGAGGCAAACCTTCCCTGACCCAGGCGCCCCAGGGAATGATGATCCTGAGATCCAACTGACTTGACTAACTTGTATCATACATGGCATATGTTTGATTATGATAGTTTTATGATAGTTTTATGATAGTTTTATGATAGTAAGATATGCGGATCCCCATATTGATATTGGTTCATTTGGTTCATTGTTCAATATATTGGTTCGTCATGGTTCATATATATCATACAATCCTCACATTTATATCATCTATCAGGTTCCATACCACCAATCCCCCTTGGTGATGTCTTTGACATCGGACAGTTCTCCAGGTGAAAGTCTCCAAGTACTTCCTGGCGCTGTCGTCGGCGGTGACCCTCCTGGCCATTCGCATCTTCACGGGGCGACAGCACCAGATTCGAGCGCACCTGGCGCATGTGGGACACCCGGTGTTGACCGATGGAGCCTTGGACGAAAAATCTTCGCTGCGGCGAGAATCGGCGCAAGGGTTTGTTTGAACGGGAGACGTATGTCTCAAATATGTTCAAGAGTTTGGAACATCGAGTTTACCATACCCTTAGAATCCTTAGACCATTTTAGAGCATATCAGAGCATCTCATGTCATATGTGAATATTTCCCATGGTTTCCCATGGAAAATTGAGCATAAATCGGGGTAACCAACAAGGCGAGGCCTTCAAGTTTTGTTCATCGGTTTTTTTTTCACCCCAATTCAATATGGTGGGTTCCCCAGATCCGATTTGATGTCTAAAAAATATGGACCCCCCAATTAGTAGGGTTTATTCATCTGGGGTTGATATTTACCATAAACTCTATATAGTTCATCATTGCAGTTGTAAATATGATCCAACTGATCTGTTTTTCGCGGACCTCGCCGTGTAAACGACGCTTGGTTCGGCCAAACTTCGAAGGAAAGTACTCCAGTGGCGCCAGCTACGGCAGCGATGTCCGGCTGTCCAGTCACAACGCCCTGCACCGCGAGCGCTTGGCCTTTCGTGACCTGCAGGGACAAAGACGGGAGGCACCAGCGGTCTTTTCATGGTATCCAAAACTGTGAATGCCATTTAGGTCTATCAAATTATGTAAATATATATATATATATTATATATAATTGAATGTCAGATGTCATTATATAAAATTCATTCAATATCTACAACGAAACAAGTAGAAATGTATAGAAATGTATATGATATCGACTAATTGGACCTATAGATATTTAGATGTTTAGATGTCCTGCGACCACATGATCTCATTGGATATGGCGACAGGTCACAGCAGAATTCAGCCCACACTTTGCTGCAGTATTTCAGCATCTGGTTGAGGTAGTGGCTCGGCTGGTATCGGGTTTTGACTGGAAAGCAAGAGATTCCTAAGTCAAGAGGGCACCCCCTAATCAGATAATCATCCAAGTCATTAAACCATGACACTTAGTATTGAAACCTTCTTAGTTTTAGGTGTTTAGGGATCACTTTAAGAACCCCCATGAAAGCTCCAGATGTCATGAAATGTCAAGAGGTATCCTCCGGATAAACCTCTGGAGAGTGGGTTCCTGAGGCTACAGCGCAACAGCACCGCACGGAGATCTGCGAGAAAATTGGCGCAGCCAGTGGGAAGCATCTAGTGAAGTCACGCGGGAAAGAGAAGATCTGGATAGATCTGGATGATTTGTTAGATTATATCAATATTTGGTTTCACCAGATAGAACCATCTCTATACTTAATCTATTGGACTCAAAGGCAATAGATTGTCAATATTTGGTTTCACCCTGCAGCCAAACTTCTTTGGATGAACTTCATGAACCGGATCGGTGGGATGTTCTATGCCTGGTGCCATTCTATGCTTAGACCTTCAGCAAATCCCAGCTTTTTTTGGCATAGTCCAAGTGGATCCCCAAATCTCAGCGCATGGCAAGGATCGCAATTCTGAGGCCTGGATGAGTTCAAACTTGTGGGATCTGGCACAACGAAAAAGCGTAGAAAAACATTCACGCCCAGCTGGGCGGGTTCCCAGATCTCCTTCATCGTGTTCCTGTTGTTTTGAGGGGATACCAGGTAAACAAGCATAGCAGCTTAGCACTTTCCCACATTGTTTTCCCTAGAGCCACAAGTTTTTGTTATTTGCATCGAGTGCCATGGCTGTGCTGACCATCGCCTTCCTGCTACATGCGGCCAGCGCTGTTCACCCGCCTCCAGCTGTTTGTTGTGAAGGGGAAGCTGCCAGCGTAACATGGGTGGTGAATGGATCTTCGCCAGGGATGTGGTGTTTTCAGATGCTGTACAGTGCAGAAAACTACATGGGTTGCGCAGCTTTGCGTTCTTGCGAGCGAAACGGCCACGAGATTTGGCTAACGTGTCCTGATGGCTATGAAACTGATTCTGGGACACCTTTGCGGCTCAAACGTTCAGTTTCCCGGGGTGATCTAAATTATCTCACCATGTTATCAGGGTTGCTCCAGCACATTATAGGTGAATGACAGCCACAAGGCGGAAATAATGGGAAATACCAATGGAATACCATATTTTACCTCCCTATCCACCAATTTTACCGCACTTGTGCCTGGGGTGCTGGGAGAAACCCTGATGTTTGGTGATGTTATCCCCCTTTTTTCTTGGATGTTTTGTTCATGTTTTTTGTCCAGCAGACTGCCAGCAGATGTGCCAATTTCGTTGCAAGGATTGTGTGGAAGGCTGTGTGCCTCTTCGAACACATTGCAGGGAGGAAGAGGTGTACATAGTCGAAAAAGTTGCTTGAGAGACTCATATGGCTCGTTTAATTTGGCTCATTGATATTGCAGTATTGCTCAATAAGGGATGATGGGCTAAAAATACCAACTAATTAATAGAGCTAAAACATACTAAACAACAGGGGATGATATCCTGTTTGGAGAAAGTACAGCACCAATGCGGTTATACAATAGTGGGGAAACTATCATTTTATCTCGCCTTGGATAATTGCAAGCGACCCAAATCACGAAACCAAAAACGAGAGACACTGACGGCCATGGCTCTGCAAAATCAAAGGTGAGGGTTTCCACGCCAGGAATGTTTACTTGGGGATACGGACCTGCAAACCACAGAATCGATGCCTAGTGCTCACATCAAAGATGCAAGGCCAATCTAGCGGCAATCTTATTGGCACGAATATGAGATGCGATATCCATGATCACTAGCACAGATGACTCTTTTTCCAGAATATTTTGACCCATTAATATTAGAGCAGGCTTAATCCTCCAAGACAAACAACGGTTCTATCAGGTCATCAAGCCATATCAAACCATATCAAACCAAGCAATGGTTCTGGCTTGAAATGATTGACCCCAATAAGAATGTGCGAAACAATCAAAGGTTCAGTTTCAGGCCCTAAAAGTGACCAGTCATTTATGGCCCATAGTCGTTTTCCCCATCTTTCACCAGAGCTGCATCCCCTGAGACGGATGTGATCTCCTGGCTTCGTCACTATGGTGGCATCGTTGACGAGCGCCTGGTGATCAGCGATGGGGCTTTGGGCCGGGGGCTCTTTGCCAAGGAGATCCGTGTCATTTCGGATTGGTTGATCCAAGATATTTCCAACCATTACAATACCACTTAATAGATATGTATTATAAACATTATAGACATTCAATTATAGATACCACTTAATAGATACCACTTTAAAAAAACATGATAGACATTTATTCAATGCAATCGATCCCAGGCAATTCATAATGCTGGACAGTCGTTTGGCACTGAGGTCGATGGTGATGTCCTACTGGCTCCACCTTAAAACGGCGGCCAGGAATCCATGGCTATATCCACATGCTATCTCCCCATATGTATTCATATGTTCAATGGATTGGTTTAAGGAAAAAATTACAGGAAAACCCCATATTTAATGGGAAAATCTATGGTTTCCTGTAGATTTTCCCTTAGACCAATCCATTGATATGTGCCATGTGACATCATGTGACCAGGAGGATGTGGCCACCGGTGATCTCCTGTTGTCTATTCCCCTGGAGCTGATCATTGCGGACACGTCTCCTTGCGCGGCCATCAAGCACTTGAGGAACGAGTTGCAGCGAGGTGAGGAATTGTCGGCTGGCCATTTTCGGTTGATGGTTCTTTGATTTTCTTTCGGATGTCAACCATCAAACAATGTCAAGTTGTTGGGGGTTTTGTATGGTCTTGTGAGCTTCTAAGTCCTAAGTGTCTCAGATATGGGAAGTAATCAGTTTCTTTTGTCAAACACAGCGGACTGGGAGGATGAGTTCAGTGTTTTTTTCGTGGCAACTCGGTGCCAGGTTGGTTATTGATGTTCTCATCGAAGTGCTTAAATCCTTCATGTTCCAAGGGTTGTAACTTCAGGCCTCCAGGCTTTTCCAGGTGCTTCACTTCGTTTTCTTGGGGAAACCCACAACCTATGGAGGTGAGTGCTCCTTTTATTGGCCCTACTTGAAGACCATGCATGCTGCAGAGCTCCGTTTGCCGGACCTCTGGTCCTTTGAAGAGAGGTCCCTGCTGGACGGTTTGCCAACACCGCAAGATGCTCAGTAGTGGTTTCAGCTTTGCTTCTAAAAATGGTGGATTTAGCTTCTGCAATTTTTTAGTGGGGAAAATGGTCATGGACCAATTCTGTCCTAATTTTTATGAGGAACCAATAGATTTAGGGATACCAATGGGTACCATATTTTTTGTCTTAGCACAAGCAAACATGAGTTTGCTTCAATGATAGAGGTTATAGAGGTTTGGGTGTAAACCAGCAAGAATACGCATGGGGCAGAAAAGACTGGTTGAATGATGTTGAATGAGAATGGAGATGTAGCCCAACACACATCGAGACGATGTTGCGGGAATGAGGCTATGGTTTCAGCTATAGTTTGACATAATCCCAACTGATGAGCCCAAAATCTCTTTTGGATGGTGACAAAAGATCGACTAGGATGGTTGGCAAAGCTACACGCAAAAATATTTTGCAGATTGCCTGGACACCAACGCGGATGCTTTGACTTTGCATGCTTTGATGCTGTACCACACTCGCGCTGGACCCTTTGGTGACTTGGGCCAAACAGTAGCTTTGGTTTGAGAAAAGGTGTTGCTGCAACCAACGGTTTCTCCGCAGACTTCCACCTTTTGGGAGGCATGAGCCCCATCTATGACCTCATGAACCATGGCCTCTCGGCAGGAGGATTCCCAGCTTTGCCTTCAGGAAGCTATCTGAAGTATAGGAATATATAGGAATATATGATATATCTGTGACTTTCTTTGCTCACAAGTATGATGTAGAAGTGTCAGATGATCATGTCAATGTGGTCAAGCACTGAATCGGGCACCATCTTGACTCTTGAATCTCTTTGACCTTTTGCCCACAGCTTCTTGAGATTTCTTGAGTAGGCAACCCTACTTGCTGATGATTCATCCAATTTCACAGCCGACAAGCAGAGAAACCATCAACCAGAATCAACCAGAGATGATATGATTATTTGATTTGCCAAGTTATTGTTGGTATCCCAATTTCTAGTATATCACCATTACATCCCCAGTATATCTCACTATATCCCCTGCATTTCTAATAAAAATTGTGTTTATATCCCATGTCATCACCATATTAGATGAATATCCCAAAAATTATGGAAGGTGCATAGTGATCGTCATAGTGTTTGTGATGTGTTTCCATGGTATTTCTATAAATAATGCTTGGTTATGTATACATATATGTATATATGTATATATTCCCCATATTTGTTATTTCTGGTTCTAAATATATTTCCCATATATTTATTCCATAGTTTTTGAATCCCCCATAGTATGTGTATCTATTTGTTTATATGTATAATATATATATATATATATGTATTCCTCATATTAAATACGTTATTTCCATGATTTGAATGGCTCATGTCCCCTAAAAAGGACTCCATCATGGTTGCTGTAGGTTACAACAGCACCTTCCACGGCTTTGATGCCGAAGTGGGCGAGAAAGGTCCCGGAAGAAATCGTGATTCATTTGGGGATTTTTATGGGAAGATCATATGGATATAACTGAGATATAACTGAGATATAATTGGGAAAGTGGGATCATAAAATTCATAAAATCTAGCCTTTTCTAAACGTAAATCCCTGAGCCATGGAGGTCTGGTTTATTCTGGTTTGATTACCGGAGGGGTTTTTGGGGATTTTACCCATCAAAAGCTCCATGTTTGAGTGCCGTAGATATGTAAATTCCCCTGCTAAACATACGTACGAAACTTACCAAAGCTTGGTTTCAACCTGGGATATTTTGTATATCTGTGGTTTTTTGGAATACAACTGTAGCGATTCACCCTGTTTTTTCAACGCTTATTGTTTCAATCAGGTGGGTTTTCCCAAACCTGATGTGACTTTCTGCCGATGGAGTTCCAGACATTTCCGGTTCAAGAGTTGATCAAAATCGGATGCGCTAAGCCATGGTTTTTCAGCCGAAAGGCGATCCATTCGCATTACTTCAAGCAACGGTTCACATAAGTTCCCTATCTATCCTCTGGTAAAAACTAACATGTTGCTGTGGAAAATCACCATGTTTAATGGGTAAATCAACTAATTATAAATGTCGGTGTGGGATATTTTTGGAGCTCTGAAAACGGGCATGGTCAACTTAGAACAATTTCGGATGGAAAATTGCCCCAGCCTCGAAAGGCACTTTCTGGGTTCGTGCTGCTGCTGACATCAAAGCGGGTGACGAAGTGTTGAACTCGATGGTGACACCTGGCAGAGCGACAGTTTTGAAGATGATTTCAAACATGTTTTTTTTCATAATACATGGGATAATCCTTCCCATTGACTTTCATATTTTTCAGAGGGGTAGGTCAACCACCAACCAGAATTGTTTGGGAAATGTGGCGCTATGCATTGTCCATACCTGTGAAGAATTGCCATTTTTGGGAAGATGAACATCCATAAAAATCGTTTGTTTGGCTATGTTGATGTTCACCAGGGTACATTGGTTATTGGTTTTGATCAATCCCCATGTTTCGATAGTTTTGTTTTATTTCACATCTATCACATCTACAATTATGGTACATGTGAAATTTCAGCAGGGGGTTACTGAGTAGAACTTCATAATCGATGCATGTTGCAGAGGCAAGAGAATGGGCTTTGGTTTGGTTGTCCACTGAAATGGTCGTCATTAATCCTACCATTAATCCCCCTTCCCCATGAACCCCCAAGAAAAAAAACATGTTCATCCCCCATGTTTCACCACAGGGACTATCTCCTGGTGTGTTTATTTGGCCAAGGAATGGTGTAGCATTCAGACCGGGCATAGCCACTTGGATGCATCCTTTGATCCACCAGCGATGGAAGTTCCAATGGAAGTCCCCATGGAATCCAACTCCCGAGTTCGATTTTGTAAAAAACAGGACTTGGAAAATGTCCAACAATTTTTCACACCCAACAGATACTTGGGGATGTTTGATGTCCAACAGATATCCCAAATTCATTGGGGATTAGAAACCCCCAAGCCATGGGAGATCACCAGCAAGGCACCCGGCATGCACTCGGAGGATTTTGACGGTGCACCCGAGATCTTCCGGAGCCGAGGGAGGTGGGTTCCACTGGAAATAGTGATTTTATGGGATTTAAGAGTGCAGTATAGGCACATACTCAACGCAGTGGTTCCTCAGATGTTTGCAGATTAGCCAGTGAACTAAATGGATTTGAAACATGTTATGATTTTATAACCATGGTAAGTTGGGCTTATATCATCTTATATCTATATCCCAACTTATGAAGGTGAAAAAAATCCCATGGTTATAGCGTTATAACATGTATTAACATGTTATAACCATTGAACTGAAGGGAAACACCTCAGGAGCTACGGATTCCTGGAATCGCCACCAGTGATGTGGTGGTTCCAGGGCCTTGCCGGCCTTGCCGAACGCCACGCCTGGATCCAGATGGACACGCAAGGCGCAGCTGGAATGATCTCAGGTATCATCGGCATAGTCATAACCATCCATGATATAGAATGATAATACTAACCCAATAACAACAATGATAATCTAATGAGAATAACAAGAAATATATATGATATTATATGATGATAATGATATATAATTATATATAATTAATAGATAGCAAACATGATGTTGTTTAATCATCACCATCATCATCATCATCACCATCACCATCATCATAATCATTGTCACCACCACCACATGTAGCTCAGGACACCTCACCTCTGAAGCCCAGCCAGATCGCCATGACCTCCATGACCTCCATGACCCCAGGCGCCGTGCGCTGGTTCGAGACCACGGAGCACGGGCCAGGGACCAACCTGGACGCCTTGCTGGCAGATGGTCAGACGACTTTGATGGAGCTGCAGGAGCTAAAAACCATGGGGACTGGGTCAGCCAAAATGGGCTAACTATGGTTAACCTATAAACATACTTGTACAGAAATATATACATTATATATATATACATATAGTGTTCTGGAATTATTTATAGATATCTGGGTTGTATTATATACACAAGGTGGTGCCCAAGTTACGCTTGTTGGTTCATAAATCTCATGAATACTAGTTCGCTATAGTTACTATCTACATCCACAAACCGTGGAATTCGCCTAGCTACAAACCAACTTGGCGAAGGAACAGAGGCAGCATTTCGAGGAAAAATGTGGACTTTGCCAGCGAAACTAGGGAAATTATGATGAAACGGGCCTCATGTTTCCAAAACTTTTCCCACTAAGTGGGGTTGTATGTTCTGAGTTCATAGGTCTGAAGGTTTCCTGTTCAATTAGCATGTGTCTGATTTTGTTCAGGCCAACATCTTTGATTTCAGGAATGTGATTACAAAACGTGACAAATTGTGATTTCGCATCCAAAATGGTGGATTTTTCGCGGAAAAACCCGGGATTTTACCATCGAACCTTGGGATTTTTTGTGGATTTAGCTATCCAATTATGGGGACGACTGGCCAACAGCTGGGATAAATCACCATTGAAAAAATGGTTGTTTAAGACAATTTAAGTAATCAATTATGGGTCCAAACATTTTTGTGATGCTTCTGGGAGACGGGGTGGAGGGCACACATTCTACATGTGTATATGAATGATGTGAAGATGTCAAGTTCATATGGCCCAATAAGAAATTTCTTGGGAAATTCTATGTTCATTAGATGTGTAGGATGCCTTGCAAAATCAATGAAGAGCACAAGTTGCGGCCAGAACCAGTGCTGTGAGGAGCGGCAAGAACGACTCGCGAAGATCGCGGGAAAGCTGCTTGGCTGAACTCTGGGGACGGTGCCATCAGTGCCAAGTTCCAGGCGGAAACCCACGGATTTTTGTCCCATTAATTATATGGGGGGGTTCCGATTAAAATCGTCCCTACCAATCCAATGAATGTCGGCTGAAGTTTTGGCTTGGTCAAAAAGTTGTTTGTTTATCAACAGTATGTGGAATTCTTAGATGTCTATAGACTCGTCTCTAGCACCACCTGAAAGCAGCACCGTGCCAAAATTGGCACTTTCCAGCTACAAGCTATGATCCCTGATATCAGTGGTTTTTCATGCCGTGTTTCCCCGCAACTTACCAATGGGTCAATCGGACTTATCACACAATGATGGCCTGCTCATTATATTTAAACAAATGCTGGGTAAGAAGCTGCTTCTGTCCAGACAAGGCGAAGTTTTCCCTCGTTTTGGTTCTCAATAAACACAATGGGGAACGTTGCAAGACATCCTTCAGGCCCATCACTGGAATCGACTGGGGGTGAACCAAAGCACTAGCGCTATTATGAACGAAAATCGGTGGGTTAAGGTACGATTTGTCATCATTCATAGCCACTGATAGTGGATGATTGGCTAAACCCCATCTGGTTGGTGGTTTGGGACATTTTTTATTTTCCATAATATATGAAATAATCCTTCCCATTGACTTCCATATTTTCCAAGATGGTTAAAACCACCATCCAGCTCTGGTTGCTTATTCTCGAGTCAGCTATGAAGCACGCCTTGCCGTTCAGGGCCCCAAGTGTGAGCGGCTCATGGAGTTTAAACCGAGAGATGGCCATGCAATACAGGGACGTGAGAACCTCGGGGTTCAGGGAAGATCTTGGTCGGAAACCATGGTGTTCATCCAAAACATAGGGGTTTCCCACAGTTTTTCTGGTATTGAGAGAAAGTTGAAGATGCGAGATAGCCAACAATATGTTATGCATACTATGTGTGAGATATTCAGATATTCACAGATAAGCAAGCAATAGCAAGCAATAAGAATCAGGAGCAACAATACCAGCACACATCCTATCATTATCTGGTTGGTGGTTTGGAACATGTTTTATTTTTCCATATATTGGGAATGTCATCATCCCAACTGACTTTCATATGTTTCAGAGGGGTTGAACCACCAACTCAGATGACCCATCCAACGGTTCCAACGACTTCCGCAAGGCCTTCCGAAGCGCATTGGAAGCGGCCATGCAGGACCCGTCAGGGTTGGGCAAAGATACTGAGCCCCCTTCAGCAAGTCAAATTGCCACTGGCAAATCATCAAAGACGTTTCGATGAAATGAAATATTATGTGCATATTATTATAAGTAATTATACACATTATGTATATATATATACACATTATGTATATATATATACACATATTATAAATATATATATATATATTATAAATATATATATATATAGTATCAAAGGTTTCCTGCGTTCCATCCTCATTGAAGGGTTTTCGCAGGGACTCCAAATGTGTCCCACCACAGGCCGCACGGGCGGAGCTGAAAGTGTCGAAGCGTGAGGAGTTGTGAAAAAGGGCCCTTGGATCGGTCGTTCTGTGCTTTGGAGGATCAGGTGACTGGATGTGGCGAGTAATTTGGGGTAACATGTAATAACAGTAGTAATAACCATGTAATAACATGTAATAACCACTTATGAGATATAAGCCCAGTTAGGGGACTTACGATCGCCAGGGTTTACCAAGTGGGATGATCCTTCGAGTGCCAGTTAGTCTTGTGCAACAGGGAAATTGTATGAAATTGTACTGACCAAAAAACAGTGTGTGGGGTGTCCAATATTGACAAGTTCAAAATGCAACAGTTGCCTCAAAGTTATGAAATTTAGGGAAGTGGTGGTAGAAATCTGTGCTTGAAATAAGGGTTTAAGTTTAAGCACGAACATCTTCGCTGATTTAACAATGTTTAAGCACCGAAAATAAACAGCCAGCTGCGACAAAAAGTGGGGATATGCCCAATATCACTGGTTGCTGGTTTTAGATATGCTGATTTTCTCCACCACTAAGCATATGACAACATGATCCCCCAATGACTTTCCATGGTTTTTCGTGGAGATTGAAACCATCAACTGACCTTTTGAAAGGGGTCCCAACATGTCCCAACTGTTTGCAAACTGCCTGGCATGGTGACGTTGGAACTCTCGGCATAGATTTTTTGAACTGGGACTACCAAGATATTGAAGGGTTTAAGTAAGTGATAGTAAGTGATAGTGCATGAACTGTGACAGATAGTTTTCCTTGCCATCTTTGATTACCAGGGTAGTTGCGCAACCAGAAGCCATAGATAGAGAACGCCCCTCACTGGAGCCTCCTGTGATGATAAGAGGATGATCTTAGATGCCTCGATGATCTTATGGGTTTTGGATTTTCACTGGTGTTCAATGCCCATCAGACCCATAAGATATGCCGTTCACTTATATGCAGAGGCTTGATTGGTGTTTCTGAGTGCATCAGTACAACATCTTGGCTGTTCCCTGACCATGGTATCTGTTTATTTTCGTTTTGGGCTCAGTGGTCGCCAATCTTCGACATATGATATATGGACACATTCAGTTCCCATATTCATGGTGACGGAATATGAGCTGCTACCTTTCAAAACCTGTCCAATGCAAACTGCATCAGGTAATTACAGAACCACAGAGTCACATCACCGAATCATCACCACCATTCACCACCATTCACCACCCACCTAAAACGGCACAGACACAAAACTGCCAGACACACACTTTCAGTCGGTTCCGCACCGCCGCGCGGAGTGATGAGCGGTGCTGGCTCCAGGAATTTGCGCCTTGGTGCTTGAACAGCCAGGTCTGCAATCTTCACAACGCTTTGCGTCTGCGATTTTGATAATGGATTAGGATGAATTAAGCGCCGCAAGGAAAGCGGGTTTCAAAGAATTTCCGCTTCTGTACTCGCTGTTGCTTGTTTTCCAGTTGCTGTTTTTGCCCGTGTCACATCACGTCCAGCTGTTGCCAAGGCAGAGCCTGGTTCTCAGGTGTGGCCGACCTATGGTCAACTGTGGCCTCTTCAAACCATCAATGGATCTGGCAGGTACAACTACTTCCTCAACACATTGGACAACTCTTTGTCAAATGAGGCGGCGAGTTGCGAGTTGCCCCTGGATGATGTTGATTATGTGCCGCGGACTCATCTCTGATTCTCAAGAATTGAATTACATCTAGTCTATGCTGTGTAATCTCTGTAGCATATCCTACATCTGAATACATCTGAGGCATCATGAAACCAGATCCTTGCTTCACCATGTTCCACGATTTTGCCATTCGATTCTGCCAGGGAGCTTCAGTGGATACCTTGAAGTCTCACTACAACGACCTGGTCTCGTTCGTCCGAAATCTGAGCCCAGAGGCGAGACATGGCCGGTCTCCCAGGCCGGACATATCTGGACGCCTGGTCTCCCAGGAGAAGCAAGAAATCCAGCGCGACAATCAGGAGACGATTTGCTGCACGGCGGTGCAGTGCAATGGACAAGCTGCGTCGCTGGATTTTCGACATGTGGATGTATACTTGATCAATGTTGAAGTCATGAAGTATGTGCATATATATATAATTATATATAATTATATATATATATATTATATTCACACATATGTCACATATGTTGTTATATATATATATATGTTAAAACAGATATGTAGATTTCATAATACATATATATATATATATACATATACATATATTTATATATATATATACATATACATATATATATATATATACATACTTATATATACATACATATATATATATATATATCGTGGTACATGTACATGTCAGATGTTGAAGATCTGTGAAAGCCGTGCAATAGGTATATTTTGTCTGGAATGCATGTTCATCCCTTATAATCCCCTAATTATAAATATAAGTTGATGCTATTTTTCCATTCAACATATTGTTCAGAGGGGATGGCGGGTTGTGATCCCTAATCAATATGTGTTGATGTTATTTCCCCGTTGTGGTGTCGGATTTTGTTTCCTTATGAAAATAAGTTGATGCTATTTATCCATTCAACATATATTGTTCAGAGGGGGTGACAGATTTTGATTCCTAATGAACATAAGTTGATGTTTTTCCCTATTCAACATATTCTTCAGATGTCTGACACAGCAG